AACACTGAGCTGTATGACAGTGAAATGAATATGTGTAAATGTTTATGATGGTCATAGGGGAGGATTAGAAGTGGTAATAATAATTAACTATCTGTGATTACCCTCTTTCAAATAATAAGAAAACATTGATATTATTATTTCCATTTGCTAAGTTTATGTTAACAATTCTGTTTTTATAAAATTCTGCTAATCTTCCTCTATTACATTATTGTAGTAAGTAAACCATTTGTTAGACATTTTGAGCCACTGACCTTCATCATTTTCTCTATTATTGTTCTATTTTTATACGACCCCAAAAAATATTTACAGTCATATATTGGTATGACGTTGTCGTCGTCGTCGTCGCCTGAGGACACATTAGTTTTCGCACAATAACTTTGGTTTAAGTGAATGGATCTCTATGAAATTTTACCATAAGGTTCAATACCACAAAAGGAAGGTTGGGATTAATTTTGGGGGTTATGGTACTAACAGTTAAGGAATTAGGGACCAAAAAGGGGCCAAAAATAAGCATTTTTGTAACTTCCAGACAATAACTTGTGTGTTATAGTGTATGGATCTCTCTGACAATGTACCACAAGGTACCATACCACAAAGGGAAAGCTGGGTTTGAGTTTGGGGGTAATTGCCCTGAAAATTTTAGAAATTAGAGGCCAAAAAGGGGCAAAAAACAAGCATTTTTTTTAGTTTCAGGACAATAACTTGTGTGTAAGTGTATGGATCTTTATGAAATTGTACTACAAGGTTCCATATCACAAAAGGAAAGCTGGGTTTGAGTTTGTGGGTAATTGCCCTAAACGTTTAGGAATTTGAGGCCAAAAAGGGGCAAAAAATCAAGCATGTTTCTAGTTTCCAGACAATAACTTGTGTTCAAGTGTATGGATCTCTCTGAAATTCAACAAAAAATGAATATAGGGGTTCTTTAATATGCTGAATCAAACCATGTATTTAAATTTTTGATTTTTGGACCCCGTTATCAAATTGGTCCACATTGAGGTCAATAGGCTCCAAAATTAAACTTTTTGTTTGATTTCATCAAGAATTGAATTCTTTGGATTCTTTGATATGCTGAATCTAACCATGTATTTAGATTTTGGATATTGGACCATAATAGGTAAATTAAAAAATTTTAAGTTCTTAGATGACATTCATTCTGTGTCAGAAACCTATGCTGTGTCAAATATTTAATCACAATCCAAATTCAGACCTGTATCAAGCTTGAATGTTGTGTCCATACTTGCCCCAACTGTTCAGGGTTCGACATCTGCGGTCATATCAAGCTTCGCCTAGCGGAGCATTTTATTCAAAGCTACATGGTAGATAAATTACGTGACTTTTCACAATGATTTTTTTTTTAATTCTGCTAATCTTCCTTTACATTATTGTAGTAAGTAAACCATTTATTAGACATTTCAGCCACTGACCTTCATCTATTATTGTTCTAAACTACATGTAGATAAATTACGTAACTGTTCACAATAAATTATTTCTTTGAATTCTGCTAATCTTCCTTTACATTAATACTGTAGTCAGTATAATACCTTTCATTAGGAAATTCGGCCACTGACCTTTGGCATATTCTCTATTATTGTTCAAAACTACATGTTAGATAAATTAAGTGACTAAATTTCACAATTCTTTATTTTCGTAAAATTCTTCTGATCTTCTTTTACATTATTGTAGTAAGTAAATCATTATTAGACATTTCGGCCACTGACCTTCATCAGTTTCTCTATTATTGTTCTAAACTACATGTAGATAAATTACGTGACTTTTCACAATAAATTATTTCTTTGAATTCTGCTAATCTTCTTTTACATTATTGTAGTAAGTAAATCATTTATTAGACATTTCGGCCACTGACCTTCATCAGTATCTCTGTTATTATTAATTTGTTTATAATCAATTTGAAAATACAGTACCAGGAAAACTTGAAAATGCTTCTGCATGTAGAACTATCTACGATTCTATAAATTTTCACTGTTTTTGTATTTTGGTTATGGGGTGGGAATTTTTGTTAGTGTTTTTTTTTTAATGTAAAAAAAAGGAAATTTATTTTTTTATTTTTCAACTTGAATTTTTCTAAATGAATGGTCACAGCAAAAGTCAATAAAGATAAAAATGCTTTAGAAATTTCTAAATGACTTGCCCATGCAAATTAAGAAAATGAAGATGAAAATTGTGTGGTGTAAAAACATTGTTATCAGTATTCTGAATATCTAACATTAAAGATTGTATATATACACCCACTGCTGTTATAAAAATAAGGAGATGTGGTATGATTGCCAATGAGACAACTATCTACCAAAGTTCAAATGAAGTGGATGTAAGCAATAATTGTAGGCAACCGTATGGCCTTCAACAATGAGAAAAACCCATACATTGTAGTTAGCTATAAATGTTACTTTATTTTTTAACATGTCAGACAACATACAGGAGGATTCCTTATAAATGATTTATTGTCACAGTATAATTCAATTTCATAACCTAACTCTTATTTGTTATGCTTTGGTCCAAATATTGACCACTGTTTATTGGCATTTATCTTTTCATAGGTATTGAAGCCATGGTTACATAACCATTACCACATTGTCACATTTATGTGACTTTCATTCAGCTGTTTAAAGATTATATTTGTTTTAAAAAAATCATACATATTTACTATATTGTCTGAACTTTTTAAATATCACTGAGCAAACCAATTTAACTCTGGTATTGACCACTGTTTATTGGCATTTATCTTTTCATAAATGAATTATGACTCTTTTCATAGATACTGTTACACAACTACAATCACATTGTGACATTTATATGATTTTTGTTCAGCTATATTTGTTTTAGAAAAAAACATAGATTTTCCCAACTTGAACTTTAAAAATATCATTGAGAATACTTATATTAAGCTCTGTAATATTAACCACTGTTCATTGAAATTTTTCTTTTGATGAATGAATTATGACTCTTTTCGTAGCTATGGTTACATAACTATAATCACACAATAACAATGTATGTGACTCAATTCATTCAGCTATTGTTTAAAGGTTATACTTGTTTTAGAAAAATCATAGATTTTCTCTTAACTTATAATAATTGAACTCGTAAAAAAAAACAGTTAGAATACAAATTTAGTTCTGGAATATTGACCACTGTTTATTGGCATTTATCTTTTCATAAATGAATTTTGACTCTTTTGGTAGCTATGGTTGCATAACTATAATCAAACAGTGACATGTATGTGACTTTCATTCAGCTATAGTTTAAAGGTTATATTTGTTTTAGGAAAACCATAGATTTTCACTAACTTGTTAACTGAACTTTTAAAATATCAGTTGAAATACAAATTTAGCTCTGTATAAAACCATAGAATGATTTAGTAATTAATTTACTTGAAATCTTGAATATCAGTGAGAATACCAATTTAGCTATGCTTACTTTAGAGACAATTGAGAGTTTGAGACTATATATATAGAATTGTACAGTTACTGTGCCCAACTAAATACTTTACCTTAGCTCTTTTTGCTTAAATCCAACCATAAACCAGTCATATAACCCTAAATGCTAGCATTAATCTAAGGATCTAAATATTTACCATTTAACTTAACCTCAACCAGTGCTGGATAAATGGATGGCCTAAAATCTATTTTTATGCCCCGCCGTATCGGAGGGGGCATTAAGTTTTACCCTTGTCTGTCCGTACGAACGTCCGTCCGTACATCCGTCCGGACGTCCCAAAGTTGGTTTCAGTCCTCTTAACTTTAGTTTGCCTCAACCAAATGTTATGAAGCTTATACACAATGCTTATTACCACAAAACACAGATCAAGTTTGAATTTTGGTGGCGTCACTTAATTTGTTGTAGAGTTATGCCCCTTTACAAATGGAAAAAATGCTGAATTTTTCGTTTCCGTTCTCTAACTTTAGTTTGCCTCAACCAAATGTTATGAAACTTATACACAATGCTTATTACCACAAAACACAGATCAAGTTTGAATTTTGGTGGCGTCACTTAAACCGTTGTAGAGTTATGCCCCTTTACAAATGAAAAAATTGCTGAATATTTCGTTTCCGTTCTCTAACTTTAGTTTGCCTCAACCAAATGTTATGAAACTTATTCACAATGCTTATTACCACAAAATACAGATCAAGTTTGAATTTTGGTGGTGTCACTTAAACAGTTCTAGAGTTATGCCCCTTTACAAAAGAAAAACTTGCTGAATTTTGTTTCCGTTCTCAAACTTAAGTTTGCCTCAACCAAATGTTATGAAACTTATTCACAATACTTATAATTTTTTTTTTAATTTTCATAAGTTGGCAAAAAGCACTCCATAAAAGAGAGTCTTGGTGCCTCTGAATCAGCTATAGCTGACACCCGACATTTACCTTACCTGGTCTAACCCTTAATCTAATCAATAAGGACAGAGATCCCCAAGAAAATGAATATGCAAATTTAAAAGTTATTAAAACTGAACATTGATAGCAAAAATTACATTCTCCTGAATATCCATGAAATATTTGCCACTGGATGTGAAACAAACAGCAATTTTTACATGGAATGACTTTATTTTGCTGATACCTTTGAATATTAATATTGTACTTACACGGTAGTATTTGTTATAATTCTTCTACTTTTTTATTGAACGTTGGTCTACTGAGCCTGTCCACATATGGCATATTGGACTAGGACAGCTGGCCAATGAGTTTAGTGTTTTGTTAGCTAAAATGTTTTGCCAGTGGATCTGTTTGTAGAGGTATATTCAAACTACAAATTGGTAAAACATTTTAGCAATTGTTATTGTGAAAGGACTGTCAAGCCTTTTGAATGTACACAGTATTATGGACAATGTATATGATATTAATAAATGATACAGCAACCCAAAGGTACAATAAAGACATCTCGGGGTTCAACATACCATTTTAAACAATGGACAAATATCTTTATAGAACCAAAACAGCAATGACTTTATACTGATATGAAAATGCATGTCTTGTTTTCTATTTCAGGAAGAGCATTGATTCCAACAAGAACCAGACAAGGAAACCTCCAAGAAGTTTGAATCCTAGATATTTATGGATAAGACTCTCTGTATTTGAAAAACAGCTGGCCAAGATTCTGGATCATTTAGTTCAACATCACAGGTAAAACTATTCAAATAGTTTTTTATTTTTTTGTGTATTTTGAGGTCTTCATTTCAAGGATGGATTATGATAAAAACAATTATATTACATTTAAAAAAAAATAACATCAAATTCTAGTGCCTGCATTATACCATTGGTAAAGCAACTGTATGTTCTGTAGGATAGTATTGAAAGTGTTACTATATTTATTGGTTTCCCTAGTCGATAAGTGCAGAAACAAAAGTAGGTCATTCTGACCTAGTTTCAATAATTTCAATGCACTCCTACTTTCTATTTTTGTGTACTGAATATGGAAAGTGAATAGCTTTATTGTGTATTGATCTTCATCTTTATTATATAAAAGGGCAAAAATAACCTTTATTTAAGTTTAAAGAATTGGAAACAAATTGTAACAATTATCAAAACCAAAAAAATTAAAAGTTTTAATTTAATATAAAAAAAAGGAGATGTGGTATGATTGCCAGTGAGACAACTATCCACAAAAGTTCAACTGAAGTGGATGTAAGCAATTATAGGCAACTGTACGACCTTCAACAATGAGAAAAACCAATATAGTATAGTCTGCTATACAAGGCTCCGACATAAAAATATGAAACAATTCAATTGAGAAAACTGACGGCATAGTTTACTATAAAGTTGTGATCACATCAACATGACACTAAGCATAGATGTGAATTGTGATTTGAATTTTTTAAAATTATATGCCAAATAAGGGTTTTGTGACTGCTGAACATGCAAGTATGAAAGTGCAAGTGGTCATGGTGTCCTATGGAAACATATTCTTGTTTTTATCTTAGTTTTACCATGAACCTGTATAGGCGATAGATTTTTGTCTTCACTGCAACAAAAGTTATGATTGGACACATAGAGTTCATTCATTCTGTCATAGGTGTCAACTTTTAGATTCAGTGTGTGGTTATATGTTTTTTAGACATCAATAACTGTTGTCAAACCTTCATGGAAATTTACAAAACTTGGACAGAAGCTTCTTCATAATCGAAAGACAGTAACTGGAGCAAAATTCACAAATATTTTTGTATATTTTTCTATTTTGCTGATAAATTTAGGGATTAATTTTTTGGCAAATAACACATATATACAGTTTACCTGGTCAAAAGGTTTATTTTTTACTTTCTTTTTCCAACAATGGAATTTAGTTTTAATTTTATTATTTCAATTTAGATAATTAAAATCTTGTATCTCACAATTTTTTTTGAAACATATAGTTGAATCCCCGTAAGACCTTTAATCTCATAAACCATGTTCAATTTCATGAATTATTTTCAAAATTGAATGAAAACAACATTTCTCTTAATTCGAACTAAGCCACTATAGATTTTGTTATCTATTTTTGGAAAGATTATTGTCATCTGATTAATCCATTTTGAAATTCTAATCTCAATTTAACAACTGAAAAAAGAATTAAATTGTCACCGATATTAGATTACTTTCTGATATACAGAGTTATGGTTTATGGGAGAGTGTATTGATTTTTGTGACATTATCACCGAATTGTCTGAATTTTAGGGTAGTACATTAAAACTCTGACATAAGTGACAAGATGCAATTACACAGGAAAGATGCAATTAGACAGGACAGAACTGCAATCAAAGCCCAATTTACTTTCTGTAATGTCAAAACATTTTATGATCAAATTTTCAGAGCAATTTGTTTTATGATTTATATTGTTGTGGCATGCAAAATTAATATTTAGTGTCTCCCACTTAAATTGTCACACAGTCTTGTATGAATATGCAATATTGCCAATATATTGGAATTTTTTAATGAGATCAGAATAAGAGTATGGTGATTCTGCTAAATTAAAGTGTTCATTACAATTCTAACTCTTTTATCAATAGCTTCCAATCATTTACATTAAATATGAGATGTCATAAAATCTCATGACTACATGAGCTTCAGACTTAAGAGATTAAAATCTAAGCAAATATAAATAAAATGAATACTAATGAGACAGCAAACTCACAACTAAAAGCAATATGTCTAGTAGAGTTCAACATACTGTCATCAACACGAAACTAAATCACACTCATTCATTCTGAGTCTAGAACAGTGTAGTACCTTCTGTTCTGTGCTGATTGTAGTTGTTCTCTATAAAGAGGCAAGATTTATTTTTAAAAAAGTGCAGAACTATAGATAGCCACATTTCCCTTCAGCAGTACTATTTGTGCAGTCAAGTTGTATTGACAATTGAAAAAACTGAGATAGCCAATCATTGTCCATAAAAAGCCCTGTCTGTGATGTTAACAGTATGTTACCACAGAGTTTATTTATGGCATTACAAATAAACTCATCATAGATACCAGGCTTAACATTTTGTATGAAGGATCACATAATCATTTAACTTTCTTCTTATTGCATTTATGTATGCAATTCAGTTTTAACCTAAATTATCATCTTTTGAATCTGTTTGTTTTGTTCACACATTGTTGTCAATATAATGGAATTTTATGCGACTGTCATACAAGTAAGAGGTTTAGCTAGCTATATAACCTTGTTTATTAGGAAATGCCTGTACCAAGTCAGGAATATGACAGTTGTTTTCCATTCGTTTGATGTGTTTGAGCTTTTGATTTTGCCATTTGATAAGGGACTTTCCAATTTGAATTTTTATTGGAGTTCGGTATTTTTGTTATTTTACTTTTGAATAGTTCTCAGCATTGCAGTACAAAAGGAAAAACCTATCAATGCTTTGTATATATTCACTTTATTTGTAAATTAGAGGCAATAGAAGTTTACTGATGTTCAAATCTCAGAAAATCTATTGAAGAAGATTCAAATCATGAAATAAACATTGAGGGAATTGCATGAACTCCAAAAAGAATGAGACCAGATTGGTTGAAAGGGCAAGCATCTCCTACAATGCTGAACTCAAAAAGAATGAGGCCATATTGGCTGAAAGGGCAAGCATCTTCTGCAATGCTGAACTCAAAAAGGAGTGAGACTTGGTGGGTTGACAGGGAAAATGTCTTCTGCTATGCAAGTGTCTCCTGCAATGCTGAACTCAAAAAAGAGTGAGACTTGGTGGGTTGACAGGGAAAATGTCTTCTGCTATGCAAGCGTCTCCTGCAATGCTGAACTCAAAAAGGAGTGAGGCTTGGTGGGTTGACAGGGAAAATGTCTTCTGCTATGCAAACGTCTCCTGCAATGCTGAACTCAAAAAGGAGTTAGGCTTGGTGGGTTGACAGGGAAAATGTCTTCTGCTATGCAAGTGTCTCCTGCAATGCTGAACTCAAAAAGGAGTGAGGCTTGGTGGGTTGACAGGGAAAATGTCTTCTGCTATGCAAACGTCTCCTGCAATGCTGAACTCAAAAAGGAGTTAGGCTTGGTGGGTTGACAGGGAAAATGTCTTCTGCTATGCAAGTGTCTCCTGCAATGCTGAACTCAAAAAGGAGTGAGGCTTGGTGGGTTGACAGGGAAAATGTCTTCTGCTATGCAAGTGTCTCCTGCAATGCTGAACTCAAAAAGGAGTGAGACTTGGTGGGTTGACAGGGGAAATGTCTTCTGCTATGCAAGCGTCTCCTGCAATGCTGAACTCAAAAAGGAGTGAGACTTGGTGGGTTGACAGGGAAAATGTCTTCTGCTATGCATGTGTCTCCTGCTTTGCATTCTAAGAAGGATGAATCCCCAAGTCCAAATACATTTATATTTAGACAGTGTTTTGGTACCAATTGCTTCTTATACATGTGTTATTAAAAAATGAAAACAACACGTTATATAAATTTCATATGTCGGAAGCGCTTTTCTGGATTTACCTTCATTATTAATAATCTATATAATTGATATTGCTAAAATGAATACACTCACTGAACTGGGAGGTTAAAAATAAAATTAGAATTTATTCCATATGTATGTTTAATTCTGGAGCTGAAATCATCAAATACTTTATGTTTTTTTAGTGCCTGATATTTTGAATAGTTTGGATACTTGGATGCAGTACCATATGTACTTTTTACTTTACTAAGAAACTTTGACTCATTTCTATATTTCTATAACTATATATTAACTACAAAATAACAACAACTTACAGATAACTTTTAAGTATTTTTCTGACAGATACAGTTGAATATGTCAGCTAAATCAACTCTGTTGGAGTCTTATTAATGGTTATGGCAGCTGTCTATAAATTAATGTATCTTGAAGAAACCATTATGAAAAACTTATATAGATATTCCGGTCAGAGAAAGTGATTGTTGCCTGTCAGATATATTTTTCCAAGACTAGACATCCATTTCCGCATACTTATGTTATATAGTGACCACTTTGACCATTAATGAAACCTTATCGCATTTCTTAAAAAAATTACACTTTCATTAGTGTGAATGGAAGTTGATTGTTTAAAGTACAGCTAAAATTCTGTACCACATGACACCCTACAATGTACTTTTCTGTATATGTGAAACAATTTAAATTGCTTGATTTGATCTTAACTATTTTGTATGTGTTAGTCTTAAATACAAATGAAGTAGTAAAATGATTTTATTCAGCTACCAATCTTGTTTTTGTCAATGTCTTCTATTATTTCTACTTCCAAACAACATGTTTTTTTTGTTTTTTTTATCAAAATCTGAATTATGTGTTCATTTGTTGTCAGTGAAATAAACTGTTGCTGTGTGTACTTAGTGTCAAAATTGGGGGCTTCGATGACCAAGTGGTCTAAGTAGTTCAACTACTGTACCACTAGCCTGTCAATATTGAGGTTCTGAATTCAAATCACGCACGTGGCAGGTGCACTCGACTCCAATCTCATAAGACAAGGATTGCCAGTTTTCCTGCTGAAGGTTGGGGTGCTTCTCTTCTGACACTCTGGCTTACTCCACCAACAGAAACTGACTGCCACGAAATAGCCAATAGTGCTGAAAGAGGCATTAAAAGACCAAAAATCAATCCAGCTAAAAATTCAATGAGAATATGTTTGACCTCAAACCTCAAATAACATTAAAAAACCAGCATATTTTCTACAACAATAAACAAATTTCCATACTATATATTTCAACCACTAATTCAAGCAAGGTCTAGACAATGCAAGAAGCAACTAAATTTATCAGAGACAATCAAAGATCTACCATAACACCAAATGTGCCAAGGAGTCATTATTACATAACTATTTTTTTCCCTCAGGTATGCTTTATGCTTCATCTTAAAGGTTAACTGCAAATCATCTTTAATAACAACATTAAAATACGAAGATGTGGTATGATTGGCAATGAGACTATCCACCAGAGTCTAAATGACGTGGATGTTAGCAACTACAGGTCAATTTGTACAAGTATATTCGAATATATATATATATATATATATGAATGATAAGTAAGTCTAAACAAGTGACAACTCTACGACAGATCCATCCATTGGATCACCAGTGAAGGTGATACACGGCTGAAAACACATATTATATTCATAATAACTCAAAATATCAGCACAACAATGTTAAATCTGCAAATTTGTGGAAGCAAATGTTTGTTCTTCCCTTGCCAGGAATTGAATTCATGCTATTGGGATATCTTGACAACACCACCTGCATTGTGTCCAGCGTCTAGACCACTCGGCCACCTAGACTGAACAAAATTCAGCTTTTTAAACGAGTCTAAATTGAAAACAACGTTCAAACCTATGATTGCTTTGGATAAAAACCGCAATTTTTATACGTGTGCATGTAAAACAAATTTCTTGGTAGAGGGGTCTAAATACAGCACAAACAACATTTTCCAAAAGACCAAAAAAGTGAAAGTTTATTTTAACAAAACGCATTTGACTAACAGGTCGAACAACTGATGTTCTTAAACCCTGCTGACTGCCATTGACGATTGCCAAATAAATTGATCACCAGATGTAACATGGTTCTTATATTTAATTTAATACCAAACAGAAAACAATAAACTTGCGGAGAAGATGGTATACCGCAAACATGAGGTTACAAAATTTGTACACCATATCCGGATTTTGACAATTAATGTCTCTTCAGTGATCTTAGGGATCGAAAAGGTATTTGGAAGGCCATATAATTTACCTCAATTTAGGATAGACTCTTGAATTTTAAAGAGTTGAAATAGGATGAACGGATCATATAAACCCCAAGGCAAATATAATACAAGCCCAAACGAAAAAATATAAACAAGTCTAAATTGAAAACAACGTTCAAACCTATGATTGCGTTGGATAAAAACCGCAATTTTTATACGTGTGCATGCAAAAACAAATTTCTTGTTAGAGGGGTCTAAATACAGCACAAACAACATTTTCCAAAAGACCAAAAAAGTGAAAAAGTATATTTTAACAAAACGCATTTGACTAACAGGTGGAACAACAAATGTTCTTTAACCCTGCTGACTGCCATTGGCGATTGCCAAATAAACGGATCACAAGGTGTAATAAATGGATCTTAATTAAAAATTTAATACCAAACAGAAAACAATAAACTTGCGGCAAAGATGGTATACCGCAAACAAAGGTTTGTTATAAGAACACAAAATTTGCGAAAGCAAATTTACAGATCTAACATTGTTGGGCTGATGTTTGGACGAGTTGTATATATACAAGTCTAAAAAACGACGTTCAAACCTATGATTGCGTTGGATAAAAACCGCAATTTTTATACGTGTGCATGCAAAGCAAATTTCTTGTAAGAGGGGTCTAAATACAGCACAAACAACATTTTCCAAAAGACCAAAAAAGTGAAAAAGTATATTTTAACAAAACGCATTTGACTAACAGGTCGAACAACAAATGTCCTTAAACCCTGCTGACTGCCATTGGCGATTGCCAAATAAATGGATCACCGATGTAATAAATGGATCTTAAATATAAATTTAATACTAAACAGAAAACAATAAACTTGCGGAAAAGATGGTATACCGCAAACAAAAGGTGCAAAGGTTTTTGTACACCATATCCAGATTTCGACAATTAATGTCTCTTCAGTGATGTTAGGAATCGAAACGGTATTTGGCTTATTATATATATATATATATATATAATAAGCAAGTCTAAAAGGGTACAACATCACCAAAAAAAAGTAAAATCATGAACAAATGTGAAATATTTCGGATATCAAATATCCTTCATCAGTAAGATGTCAAATGATATATATATAATATAACATTTTGTTCTTTTTCAGTAAGTTTTATGAAGATTATGCTTTGATATCAGATCCTGTGGATGGCCCCATATTTGCGTCATTACTTGGTATGTATGATTAAATTTCTATAGCCTAAGATTTTCTATTTTAATCTGGTTACTGATATGTTTTCACATTGTTTCATCCATGCATTTAAATTCCTTACTCAACATTGTTTAGATGCTGTCTTATAGATTTTTAAGTCACATATCCTTGTATGAATCTTGTATTGTTATAATTAGAAGCATGCACTGACACTCATTTTGGCTTCCAATTACTTGTAGTTGGGGAAATTTTAATGTGAGAAATTAATTGCAAGAAATTTTTCAATTAGACACTTTTATTTATAAATTTTCATTATATTTTCTAGTTGGACCATGTGCTCTGGATTATTCCAAAATGAAGACTTCTGACCATTTTTGGACAGACCCACCAGCAGATGAGTTGGTTCAAAGACATAGAATTCATTCCAGCACAAATCACATTACAGGCCCTGGTTCCCCTAAAAGACCTGGTTTACAGGTACCAGTGGTAATATCAGTTTCTCTATCTCTATGTGTGCACACAACTCACTGGTTTTACTTATATTGTAACTGTGTTTTAGTGTATACACATAGATGAATGCACGTTATCTTATACCACAACCGTACCTTGTTAATGTATGGTCATGGACTCATGGTAGTGTGTTTCCCCAGACACCTTCAGGACCAGGTAAAAACTTGTTGCTTGGGAAAATCATATTCCTCTTTGTGACAATAGCAAAGTGTCAGGATCTTTGTAGAAAAGGGTCATTCAATTAGTATTTTCCAACAAGTGGACTAATTATAGCAAAGCTGTTTCGTTAAAGATCACAACACAGGGCAAGGCATATGAGACTTACTATATTTTTTACTGGACCAATGACTAGGAACATTGTGGGGCTCAAGCAATGTTCCTGAGTAAAAGACACTACAAATATTACTAGTAGTAGAAGTCAGTTATAAAAATAGATTTGATAATATCTTTTTTCTAATTTCAAGTAAAATCAAGAAATATTTAAATAGCGTAACAGCCGTGCATAAAAGCATCATAAGTTTAAATGATTTTGTTAGTTTCACTCATAAAAGACATCACCATTATAAGTCATGGAAATTATTTGCGATACACAAAGATTGTAACTGAGGTTTGTTGTTATTTTAAGGACATCATGAGCCAGTTTTGACATGAAAATGTTTGGTATTCTTATATTGGTCAATGATTTGTTCATATATTTGGTTTTTTTTTAACAATTTGAATTGATATTTAAATGAGAGTCTTAAGGTCTTTTGGTTATTCTGGGCCTCAGATTATATAGGAATTTTGTTTAGCTACTTCTGTGAAATAATATACCTATGGAGAATGCCCATGAAAACACTCTCATTGACCTTTGCAAGTCCAAAGATTTAGCATATTGTTGAAGGTCGTACAGTGATTGAAATTGTTTAATTCCTTGGCTGTTGGCCTTTGGTGGATAGTTGTTTCATTGGCGATCATACCATATCTCCTTATTTTTATATTGTTTTGTACACTTGTTGTAAAGTAGTATCACTGTGTATTCCTTTAACCTAGATATTTCTGACTACTGGCACCTAGTGGATTATTTCCTGCAATAATAGAGTTCATTAATAGGCATCCAGTTTATTTTACCATATATTGATGTGATGTCAGGTAAAGGGATTATCTATGAAAAATGGATGCACAGTGAGATTGTCTTTACATTTTTAAAAGATTTTTAAAACACATTTTTCACATAGTGAATTTTATGTACTTTTGTATGATCTGTGAATGTTGTATTGTATTTTTATATATTTATGTTGTGATTATTGAAAATTTAAGAGAAATTTTTTGAAAAAGACTTCCATGAAAAATTATGTTTAATATTTATTTTCATTAATTTATGATATTCTATAGTCTTGTCTGAGATACATATGGATGCTATTCTGGCAGCAGAAACGATTTGGTTAAAGCTGTATATTTCAAAAGAAAGACAATCTAGTATATGCCTGTTGTCCTTAACCTCATTTTCATAGTTCAGCATATGCTTAAAAAACTGTATAGTTATTTATCATGTGATTTTTTTTCAATTATTATGCGTAATAGGGCAAATATCTTTGGTATATACAAAATATTTGCAAGGTTTACATGTCAGTCAAAAGAATCACCTTACTTTGACCTAAATTCATGGAAAAGTGATTAACATGTTTTTAGCTCACCTGACCTGAAAGGTCAAGTGAGCTTTTCTCATCACTTTGCGTCCGTCGTCCGTCGTCCTGCGTCCGTCGTCCGTCGTCCGTAAACTTTTACAAAAATCTTCTCCTCTGAAACTACTGGGCCAAATTTGACCAAACTTGGCCACAATCATCATTGGGGTATGTAGTTTAAAAAATGTGTCCGGTGACCCGGCCAACCAACCAAGATGGCCGCCATGGCTAAAATTAGAACATAGGGGTAAAATGTAGATTTTGGCATATATCTCTGAAACCAAAGCATTTAGAGCAAATCTGACATGGGGGTAAAATTGTTTATCAGGTCAAGATCTATCTGCCCTGAAATTTTCAGATGAATCGGACAACCCGTTGTTGGGTTGCTGCCCCTGAATTGGTAATTTTAAGGAAATTTTGCCGTTTTTGGTTATTATCTTGAATATTATTATAGATAGAGATAAACTGTAAACAGCAATAATGTTCAGCAAAGTAAGATCTACAAATAAGTCAACATGACCAAAATGGTCAGTTGACCCCTTAAGGAGTTATTGCCCTTTATAGTCAATTTTTAACCATTTTTCGTAAATTTTTGTAATCTTTTACAAAAATCTTCTCCTCTGAAACTACTAAGACAAATTTAACCAAACTTGTCCACAATCATCATTAGAGTATCTAGTTTAAAAAATGTGTCCGATGACCCCGCCCGCAAACCAAGATGGCCGACATGGCTAAAAAATAGTACATAGGGTAAAATGCAGTTTTTGGCTCATATCTCTGAAACCAAAGCATTTAGAGCAAATCTGATGAAGATAAAATTGTTCATTAGGTCAAGATCTATCTGCCCTGAAATTTTCAGACCAATCAGGCAACACGTTGTTGGGTTGCTGCCCCTGAATTGGTAATTTTAAGAAAATTTTGCAGCTTTTGGTTATTATCTTGAATATTATTATAGATAGAGATAAACTGTAAACAGCAATAATGTACAGCAAAGTTAGATCTACAAATAAGGCAACATGACCAAAATTGTCAATTGACCCCTTAAGGAGTTATTGCCCTTTATAGTCAATTTTTTACAATTTTCATAAATTTTGTAAATTTTTGTAAATTTTTACAAAGTATTTTCCACTGTAATTACCGGGCCAAGTTCATTATAGATAGAGATAGTAGTAAGGAGCAAGAATGTTCAGTAAAGTAAGATCTACAAACACATCACCATCACCAAAACACAATTTTGTCATGAATCCATCTGTGTCCTTTGTTTAATATGCACATAGACCAAGGTGAGCGACACAGGCTCTTTAGAGCCTCTAGTTTTTAAATAAGATCAATTTCTCTGAATGCACAATTACATGTGCAGTTAATTTATAAAGTAATTTGATTAAAGTTTGCAAATAATTTTATTAAAGAAGAATTTAATATGTTGGATATTTTTGGTGTTAGTTGCTATAAAATTTTTAAACATTAGGTCATTCTTAGAGAGTAAAATATTAAACAAACCACAGGATTAAAATACATGTACATGAAGGGTTTTCATACTGATATAAATCCTGGGTAAACAATAGAAATAAGAAGATGTGGTATGAGTGTCAATGACACAACTCTTCATCCAAGTCACAATGTGTAAAAAGTAAACAATTATAGGTCAAAGTACGGCCTTCAACACGGAGCCTTGGCTCGCACCGAACAGCAAGCTATAAAGGGCCCCAAAATGACTATTCAAGAAACAATTCAAATAGGAAAACCAACGGTCTAATCTATATAAAAAAGGAGAAACCAGAAACACTTAAGAACCACATCAACAAACGACAACCACTGAACAACAGGTTCCTAACTTAGGACAGGTGCAAACAAATGCAGCGGGTTTAAACGTTTTAATAGGCGCCAACCTGCATATTATTCAGAGGTTTGCAGGTTTTCCGTCTGCACAAAGCATATAACTATAGGATAATGCCAAAAAAGGCTTTTGTAATTAGTTGAAAATGTAAATATCTATTTCATTTCACCAATTGATATCAAATATGACGGATACTAGATTTCTTGTATGGTATTTATTTCAATTGTTATGGTTGCCAGCTTAGGAAAAGGGGGGGGGGGGGTGTTTACATTGGAGCCTATTTGCAATGGAAATATGTAGCAATAAGTTTCATGAAATCCACTTAAATCAAACTTATTATCAGAGAGAGGTGGCCCTGGCACAGTGCCAGATGAGGTTCAACTTCAGTGCTTGTTATGCTGCTAGGTTGATGTATATGACTTTAAATGGAGGATTTGGATTTAAATTTACGTTTGAGCCTATGGGAAATATTAATGGCAATAATCTTTTTTGGGAAACCCTCAATTAATTGATGCAAAATCCTATAGAGAGATTACTTATCGGAAACTTGCTTAGTGTTGTTACTTTGAGGCTTTAACAAAGTCATATGGATTACAATTGGTTTGGGGATGGGGGAGGGGGCATGGTAAATATGTTTTTATTAAATTGTATTTGTTTTGAGAACTAATATCTAATCTATACAGGCTAATTTGAGGCTCTTAGCTCTAATCACTTTGGCAGCTGTAGTTTTTTCTGAAGGGCCGGCAGTGGAAAAATGAACTTAGATCTAGCCTACAAAATCTTAGTAAGAAGGAAATGTTGTTTATCAATTGTACATTGATGTATTTGATATGATTATTGATTAATGGGCAAATACTTGAAAAAAGAACCTTGAAGGAAAGGATATTATTTTTTTTTTTTCATTTGAGATATGAATGAATCCATTCTTTTTTTACTCTAAAATAAATCTGACTATACAAAAAAACATTAATTAATGAACAATTCTATATTTCTAGCATTCAATATCAGTCAAAACATTTTTGTGAAAAGGATTTGCCTTGTTTACTTTTTCTCCACAGTTACATAAAACCTTGGAAATAATTTCCTGGTTTCAGATTCCAAACAATGATGTCTCTGATAGCGATCGCTATTGATACAATTAACGTAGTGATCATTCAACCGATATTTTTATTACATGAAACATTGATCAGAAAATTGTCACTTGTTCAATTAATTATTTGACTTTATTTGTGTTCATTGAACTCTAAAGAATATTTGTTGAAGTTGGAAATGAAATGAGAAAGGAGTTATTGTTACAAGATTGCATGAAGTAAAAGAATTTGAAAATATCTGAATTTCTGGGGTTTTTTTTAACTCACCCAGATGAACTGCTTGAATGAAAGTAAATAAATCGACAGAATCTTCCAAATTACAGTTGTTTTTGTAATATGTATTTATTTGGGCTTTAGATATTTATTTCGTAATGAGATAAAGCAAAACAATACCTTTGAGTGTTTTTTTATGTTCTTGGTTTACTGTCCTTGAAAATTAAAAACAGTAATAATCTGTTCTGGTCCCCTGCTTTAATCAGACTGATTCTGTGATTGATTGAATATTATTTTCATATTTTTAATGGCATTTTCAAGATAAGAACAAATTTGTAATATGACAGCTTCTGGGATTTCAAATTTTGTTGACACAGAAAACGAATGAATAATTTTGTATACCACTGGAGATCAATGGTCTATTTTTGTTAGCACAGAAATGATACCTTACAACATCTTGTTGAGTTTGAATTGAAGAATACCACATAGCTAAGTGGTCTAATTAGCTGGTCCCCATTTTCTTGTACAGAGATTCACTCTATCAGTACTTATGATATTGATCTGAGACCTTTCAGCAACTGCCCTGATGAAGAACTACAATAAAAAGCTTATCCAATCTGTTTTATGATTTACCCCCAAGGGTGACCGGGGAATAGAAATATGGTCACCATTGGTCTTCCTTCGACCGGCAGTAAAACCCTCATCAAAGTAGGGCGTCCATTTGACTGTGCAGGACATACAAGTTTGATGACACGTCTGGTCAGAATGAGGATGTTTATTTTCAATGCCTCGTGAAAAGGGAGTGCCACACTCTCTGCACTGTAAGAACCCTTGCAACAACTCATTGAAGGGTCCGTAGGTGACCTGTTTCAAGGCAAAATTCTGTCCCTATCCAATATACCCTCATTTTGCCTCGTGAAAAGGGAGTGCCACACTCTCTGCACTGTAAGAACCCTTGCAACAACTCATTGAAGGGTCCGTAGGTGACCTGTTTCAAGGCAAAATTCTGTCCCTATCCAATATACCCTCATTTTGCCTCGTGAAAAGGGAGTGCCACACTCTCTGCACTGTAAGAACCCTTGCAACAACTCATTGAAGGGTCCGTAGGTGACCTGTTTCAAGGCAAAATTCTGTCCCTATCCAATATACCCTCATTTTGCCAATTGACCAGACCTTCATCCTGAAGGCCTCTGTTACAGAACCTACCTATTGTATTTATTGTTAATTTGTTCTCGTCCTGCACATGCATGAAAAATTTGCCACTGGACATAAAACAACCAACAATCAATCAATCACATAAGTGTTAAATTGCATGCATTTGAGTTCCAATTGAATTTATAAAATAGTTTGGAGTTCAGTAATAAATGTTATTTTGTTTTGAAATACAATTATTTAAATTTCCTTGTTAATAAAATGTCAATAATTTTGCTTTGAAGACTTCACTTCAATGACTATAAGATATAGAACAGTATAATACACACAATTTTTATTTACTTTGCTCGGATAAAACATAAACATATTACATTTAATTTTTTTAAAGTCTGGAGTTAAAAACATATTCATGATATTTCATTTTGAAATATGAAAATAAAAAGTTTCTCAAGCATGCGACTATCATACAAGTGAGAGGTTTAGCTAGCTAAAAATCCAGGTTTAATCCAACATTTTCTACATAAGGAAGTGCCTGTACCAAGTCAGGAATATGACAGTTGTTTTACATTCATTTGATGTGTTTGAGCTTATGATTTTGCATTTTGATAAAGGAATTTCTGTTTTGAATTTGCCTTGGAGTTCAGTATTTTTGTTATTTTACTTCTTACACATACTTCATTAGTGTTTTTATACGACCGCAAAAAATTTTGCGGTTGTATGTTAGTATCACGTTGTTGTCGTCGTCAGCTTCATCCGAAGACATTTGGTTTCCGGACAATAACTTTAATAAATGTAAATAGAAATCTATGAAATTTAAACACAAGGTTTATAACCACAAAAGGAAGGTTGGGATTGATTTTGGGGGTTATAGTCCTAACAGTTTAGGAATTAGGGTCCAAAAAGGGGCCCAAATAAGCATTTTTCTAGTTTGTAGACAATAAATTGTAGAACGGTGTATGGATCTCTCTGAAATTATACCAAAAGTTTCCATACCACAAAGGGATGGTTAGGATTGGCTTTGGGGGTTATAGCTCAAACCCTTTAGGAATTAGGGGCAAAAAAGGGGGAAAAACAAGGGTTTCCTGGTTAATGGACAATTAAAAAAAAATACCATGTTATGTTTTGATTACCTCCATTACACTGCTTTTAAATTATGTATAAAGAAATGTTATATTGTCTTGAGGTGATTGGCTGTCAATTTATTTTAAGAAGTTACAATTGAAAAATGCTGATTAAGGAATATTAATTTTAGCCATTATTATGTATGTCATTTTCTATTTTAAGACTTTTATGATGTATTTAAATGGGTAATGGTTACAAACTCCATTGGAAATTTGAATTGAGATAATGACTATATCTTATGGGGAATTTTTTTTTTTTTGGGGGGGGGGGTTCAATTTGCAACAGCATAATGTATTGCACTAAAGCAAAAAAAAGGGAGGGTAAATTTTTTTATTTTTTTTTTGGGGGGGGGGGGGTCAATTCGCAACAGCATAGTGTATTGCACAAAAGCAAAAAATTGAATATAAATTCAAATGATATAACCAATTCTAAGTTCTTTGACTACAGTTATTCTGTGTCAGAAACCTATTATGTGTCAAATATTTAATTACAATCCAAATTCAGACCTGTATCAAGCGCGAATATTGGGTCCATTTTTGCCCCAACTGTTCAGGATTGGACCTCTGCGGTCGTATCCAGCTACGCTCAGGGAAGCAATTTATTTTCTTATACATCCATACCATATCCCTTCTTTCTTATCATATATAAAGCCAAAAAGATTTACTTCAAACTTTTTTGGTTATTCAGAATAACATAACTTGAATTGGTTGTCATGACAATATCAGAGTTTTTTATCTTTGCACTCTTTGTTTTCAAGTATCTTTCAAAACGCTGTCATTTAATATTTGTATCAATTAAAATTCTACACAGCATAGATTTCAAGAACTTTATAATTTGTCAAGTCCATTGCTTTAATCGTGTCATAGAATATTAATGTAACAGTAAAATTTTATGGCATTTAAACATATTGTTTTATTGCAAAACAAACAATTTGACCTTCATGTAATTTCTCAGCAGCGTAACAGTGTTTTGGTTTTAACGTTATTTCACGAGTTAGGTGAATAATCAATCACACTGATGTCTGAGGTAATTGCATTGTTAAACGAAAGAAATTTGATTGTTCTATCAAATTACTATTGATTGATTTCACATGTTCATATAAAAAACCATTAAAAGTTCATGCTTGGAAGATGGAAGTTATCACCTTGTTTCATCAATGTTCCCTGTATAATTGAATAATTTCTGAATGCTGATTACAAAGTTGTTACTTTTTACATTTTATTTTGATTTAGTATGGAAGATTGACATTTTAAAAACTGGGAAAAGGAGAACATTAGAAAAGTAACTCTCCTTACATGTATGATAAAATTGACAAAATATTTTGTCATCTTTTGTTTTTGTTTTTTTTATTTTGATGACAATGCATACAGATTATTAGCTATTGCCAAATATCTCATGATCAGCAGCATCCCTGCCGAGAATGTACCAAGGACTGCCATTTTTTGCCACTAGATTTTCCACTGATTGATTTGTTTCTAAGATGTATACTCAGTACTTCATGTATTCAATCAGCATTACATTCTTGTATCCTGATACCTGTCACCTACTGAAACAGATACTGTAAATTCAGAAATTATTGCGAGGATTTTATTAATGCGAATAATGCGACTGGTTAAGTATCGCAATAATAAGAACTCGCATTCTGATAACTGAAACATAGACCTTTATGCAGATTTTTTCGAAATCGCAATAATTAAACTCGCATTTTTGTCCATTCTTGAATAATCGCAATAATTTCTGAATTTACAGTATTTAGTTTTTTGTGAACTGTTATTCATTGTTTTTCCTTTGGATATGACATTGTCAGCTTTCTTCAATCAATTGCCACATTTGTATATTAGTCCTTCTTATCAAGATAAAATGATAATATTCTGATACCAGTCAGCTACTAAAATGATGTTTAATCAACATTAAAATCTGATATCCTGTTACTAAAGAATACTATTTTATCTATACTGAACTCTGATATCCTTATACCAGTCAGCTACTAAAAGTTAGAAAGCAAATTAGATTCCAGATAGTTGGGCCATATGTAACAAATGGCTTTTTTTCATCAGTATTGATAGGACAGATGAATTATCTTTTATGTATCTTTGTGTTATTTTTCTGTTTATGAATCCTAGTGTTCGAGCAGACATGATTTATTTGTTAGGTAGCCTATTTCCTTGCATGTGGTCGTGCAATCATATATTATTGTTACAAAATCTTTGATAAAAAGGGATAGCTTTTGAAATAGAATTAAAATTATGTAGGTAGGACTACTACTGTTCAAGCAAGCTGTGTTTTTTAGCTTAGCTGGTTTCAACAGCTTATAACTTTGTAATACGCTCTTGTAACAACGGAATAGAATTGATCACTTGCAAATAGATTACCGGTTATACTAGTTTAAAATTGTGGTGGAATGACAGCGAAAGTTTATTGACTTGTCATATAAGTTATATAAGCATTTGGCACGAAAGAAGGAAAATGTTCATTAGAGCTTGTTTTTAACTGCTTCTAAGCCTCATCCATATATCATGTTTATGAAAAGTGTAGACAATATTATTGTCTAATTTTTGGAACTGTTATTTTCTAAAAATAGATGGGACAAGATATCAAAGGGGGGGGGGGGGGGGGGGGATCGTCTGTCTTAACAAAGACAGACAACAAAAAGAGATAACAAGCAAAAGTTTATGAAATACTACACAGAAAGCTGATGGAATTGATTGTTAAACAACACAAACCCCACCAAAAATAGATGATGAACTCAGGTGATGTAGATGGGTAAGCAGTTCTAGTTCCACTAATGGCACCTGTCATGTTCCTCAGATCAAGTTAAAATCTGGTCATTATTTGTATTGTCGGAGCCATACATACAGTTTAATATGAATAAATGTGATCACCTGTTTATTATTCAGTTTGATATACATGTATGAATTTTATATGTTTCTTTTGACTTTGTAATATCTGTTGGCTTGCTGTCACACTGATTTTTCTGCAACATTTGGTAACTTATAATTTCTCTCTTACAAATATGATACGGTAATATCAGTATCACTAACAGGGTATTTGATTCCCCTTTTTTTTTGTAACAGTAGAAAAAACGAAAGTATAAAAAGCTATTATTATATTTACTTTCATCCTTCTTCACAGGTAACACCTGGCTCAATTATTACCTGCGAACAGTTAGTGATAAAAAATAGAAAAAAAATAATAAACTGTTACAAGGAATTGTTAGTCCTTTTGAATAATTCACTTAAGATGCTGTTAGGCTTAAAACAATAAGAGCATGTTTATGCCTTTCATAACTTTAAAGATGATATCCCCTACGGTGTACGTAAGATGAACTCCACATGCAACATTGTGGTAATTAAGACAATGCATATGAAACGTCAGTCTAGGAAATTATGACCCATTGGTTCTCTGATGTGTCATTTCCTGTCACGTACTACATCCCAGAAGTCGATTCAGACGTCAAAAATCAATATACAACAATAAGACATTAGATTATGGTAAGGTGTTCCTTAACTAATTGTTGAGTATTGTGTAGATCACCAGTGTAAGAAATCAACAATGAATTGAGTTGTCTCATTCTATTAGTTAACTTCATCTTGGACAATTACCAAAGGATTGCAGCAATTTGTACTTAATATAGCCAGTGTTTTGGTATTAACATGATGTAGCTAAATTTCCAGTTCATATAATTATGTATAAATGGTAAAATTAAGGTTAGATTGCAATTCCATAAGGGAATGTTGACTTTCATGATACAGTTATTGGTTTTTATGCCCCTGCCGTAGCGGAGGGGGCATTAAGTTTTACCCTTAATTGTCTGTCTGTACGTCTTATAATTGGTTTCTGTTCTTTTACTTTAGTTTGCCTCAACCAAATGTTATGAAACTTATACACAATGCTTATTACCACAAAACACAGATCAAGTTTGAATTTGGGTGGCATCACTTTTACCTTTCTAGAGTTATGCCCTTTACAAATGGAAAAATTGCTGAATTTTTGTCTCTAACTTAAGTTTGCCTCAACCAAAAGTTATGAATCTTTTACACAATGCTTATTACCACAAAACACAGATCAAGATTGAATTTTGGTGGTGTCACTTTTACTGTTCTAGAGTTATGCCCCTTTACAAATGGTTTTCGTTCTCTTACTTATTGTAATTTATAGGCCCCTTTTATCTCACCTAGCCCAAAACTGGAAAAACTATAAAATATAGATAAAAACTGTAAACAGCAAAAATTATCAGCAATAGAGGATATACAAAAATGCCAATATGGCAGAAACCATTGGATGACTCTTAAAGGAGTTATTGCCCTTGAATGAATTATTGTTTTATTTTTTTATGACATCAAAAACTATAACATGTAATAGATAGGTACAAACTGCTGGGCAATACAAAATTACAAGATCTACAAAAATAACATAACTGATTGAAATAAATGTGAAAATGAATACAAAAATTTCAAATCTTTACCAAGTGAGCTATTCAGGCTTTTAGGATCCTCTTGTTTGTTTTAATGCTCTCAAACATTTTAACTTATTGATCTTTAAAACTTTTGGTCATGACTCATGAGCATACATGAAACCAATTCATATTATATATTGTTATTTGCATTTTTTAAACTCCCTTTGAGGAGTTTGATGTCGGCTGTTTTTAGATTTAATGCTCTTAGATCCTTGTATGTAATTTTTTTTGAGAAACTCTAGGTCCAGAGTGTACCTGGCAAAAGTTCTTCTGCATTGAAGTCACTGTGTGATTTATAGTATACCGTAATACTAATTATATATATAAGCATTTAGCTTTAACCTATTTTGTTTGATTATGTTTTCCAAAATTTTAACCCAAGACTTGAAATTTGGTCTTTGCTACTTCTCTTCTTAGCAGGCGTCATTTAGAAGCAAAGTTATTAGATTTGTTGCTGTTTGTCACAGCTTATTCGTTGATATGAACCATTTAATTAGTAAGAGATCACCAGGCAAAGTTGATATTTCTTTTTTCTCACAGTTTGGTTTGGTAAACACGACTATCTGAAAGACAAAACTACAGGGAATGTAAATAACAACATAAGCTTCTATTAACTTTATTCATTACTTTAGTAAGCTCCATAGGGATCTTAGAGCATGCTAAATTGTGTAGACAGCTGTTTATTGTCGAAGGCTGTATATTGACCTTTTCAAGTCTTTTGGTTATTTTTGTGTTGTTGTCTCATGTATATCTCTTATCTCCTCATATTCATTCATTACTCTTTATTGATTGGTTCTTTCCTAATGTTTCTCTGGATTGTGGTCTTACATACATCCGTACTACATCCATTCCATCTAAAAAATAATATCTTTAAAAAAATTGTTGCAAGTATAGAAAGTGGCATGTAATGAAATTTATGGTTACCTTTTTTATGTCTCTAACTGGCTGGTCACCTGAAACAAGCTTTTTCACATGAGCAATATTAATTTCATTTTTATGTAGCTTTATGTAAAATTTATACTTTTAAACTGACATCACAAGAAAAACTGGTGAATAAGTGATTCAAAGCTTGTAACAGTCTGAGAAAGTGTGATCTTGAGTTAGGAATTGACATTACCTTGAGTGACTTCGTGATTCTTGATAGAGAAATCTGTTTTGTGTGTTTGATAAGTTGATGGACTGTTTAGTTGGCGTTTAAGAAATATTCTGGAATATTTTCATGTTTTAAAAATTAAGATTAGCATTTAACAGATTAATCAGATATTTTTGGCACATCATGATCCGGTCTGGAAAAAATTGATGAATATGGCAAAGAGGTCAGAATGGGTTCAAGCCTCTTGTCTGTAAATGACTACTATCAAAACATCATGGTTTAACAAAATGCACTTTCGATATATATATATCATGCACAACGTTAATGATAAATGCTTCCTTTTTTGCTTACGTTGTTGGACTGATGTCCCATGAAACAAGAGAGAAAATGCAAGGCTTGTAGAGCCGTACATAGCAAGTACAAATAAATTTTATATTTTCTGGACAATGTACAGATATTGTTTTTTTTCCATCAATTTAACCCTTGCACTTTTAAGTTAAGTCTTTTTATTTCCAAATTGTTGTATTTGGTTTTGATAAACATCAACATGGTCAATCTTGGACTGCGGAGATGACTTGGAAAATAAACTGTTACCATTACTGTTAGCTCAAGATAGATGCAGGATAACAGGAGCAAAGCTTATTTGAAAAAAAAAACCAAAAAAACTGTTATTTGTATAATAGTTGGTTGATTGCGGAATAAAAAGTTTGTCACCTCATCAGAGGTCAATATTTTATTCCTGTGGACCATTTTTCATTTTCCAGTGAAACAGCTGACTGATTGCTAGAGAATGCTATCTGCAATGGTGTTGAGCAATATCAACAAAAAAGTATAAGATGAAAATGACTCTGCAGGGTTTGGCCTAAAGCAGGATCTGTTTGCCAATTAGTCAACCATTTCATTTGGAAAATCTAAATATGAGGCTTATATGAACAGTAGCAATCTGAATGACTATTTTTTGAATGCCTTAAACCTATTACTAAACTGTAACTATATGAATGATAATAGATATTTTCAATTTGTTTCAGTAATCTAATATTTTAAATTGCTTTATAAATTATTTGGACAGAAATACTTTTCAAGATCGATACTATCCTCATTTCTTTTAATTAAAGACATACTTCGTTTTGTTCTTTGAAACATGTAATTGGATTGAAACTGCCTTCGTTGTGCATTGTCATTGGCTTTTTAGATTAATTACGTTTTATCTTAAATCTTCCTGTGAGCATTTTCTACAAATTCTGTACAATTTATTTATCTTTCTTAAGATAATGAAAGCCTTTCAGATATGGAACAATCATTAATAAATCTAGGTCACTGCTTTGAAATGTTTTGCTAATAATACCTTATGTCAGCATTTTGAGGAATATTAGACACTAAGACATAAATCTGGATGGGTAGCATGTGGAAATAGTTATTGTAACATATGATAATTTTCTTTAATGATTTCAAGGAAGCCCAACAATATTTTGTAAATTTTTGTAACTCCCATTTTTGGGAACTTATCTCGAGTTCTATTATGACATCAAATTTTCTGGCCATTTTCCTTTTGTGACAACTTAAAAAGCACAATTGTGCATAATTATGACATCATGCAAAAAGATTTTGGAGATTAGTGAAGACAAATAATGTACATATTGTCAAAATCATTATTGGATTCTATCAAAGAATGTTACGAGATACAAATATTTATTCACTCTCATTCTGAATATGCATGAAGTATAATTGCCACTGGATTTTAAGTAAATATTACTTTCACTCGATTTTGTTCACTCTTATTATTTCAATTTAAAAAATAAACAGCATCGTTATTTTATATATTTTGAAATTTTATGATTATTGTCAGTCTGGTGATAAAGCAATATTTCCTCAGTGCATATGGTGCAGTAGAAGAATCTATATTCAGTTTATTAGATACCAGTTTAATTGATTTCATTGTTAATAATATGATTCATAAAATTATTATGAAAGAAATTGTTAATATCCTTTTTTTAATTGATTTCTTAAAATCCAGGTTACAGTGATATTCTACAAGCCACGAACTACACAAAGTGAAATCAATAAATTTAAGTTTTTCACAATATATCATTCCATTTCAGTTGTTGTTTCATTTTTTATCTATCTATTTTTTGGTAATAACTCATAAATATGAATTTTTCACTTATATTGTTATATTTACAGGTGAGAAGAAATACCAGTTCTAGCAGTGAAGAAAGCTCTAAAAGTTTCCATTTGTCAGCCAAAGAATATGTTGAGTCCCTGCACCAGAACTCCAAGACAACACTGTTGTATGGCAAAAACAATGTCTATGTACAGCCAGTAAGTCTACAGTTTATATTGGAAGCTTTGAAATATACTAGAACTTTGGATACCAACAGTGGAGCAGGAACTGTCCACCCTTCATGAGCACCAATGTATACCCCATTTTTTATGGTGTTCATGGATGATATGCTCTCTCTTTAGTTCTATGAATTTTTTTTGTGGATGTACTGTTTTTGATATGCCCCACTGTGGTGAAGGGAGCAGTAAGTGTTACTCTTCACAGTCCTTCTGTCTATCCCATTTTCATTTCAGCACTCTAATTTAAGTTATTCTCATCCAAATTTTATGAAACTTATACACAATTCTAAGAACCAAAACTAGCAGACAGAGATCTAATTTGTCTCTTACTGTTCTAGAGTTATGCCCCTTTATAACATGGAAAATTGCAATTTTTTTATGTTTCCTGCTGTTATTGAAGTTTTATGCATCCAAATTTTATAAACTCGTATATAATCCTAAGAACCAAAACTTGCAGACAGAGTTTGAATTTGGGCAGTGAGTCACTTACCGTTCTATAGTTATGCCCCTTTTTATCTTGAAAAATTGCAAATTTTTGTTTGTTTCAGCATTCTAACTTAAGTTTGTCTCATCTAAATTTTATGAAATACATACACAATGCTAGAAACTACAACAACCAGACAGTTCAAATTTGGGCATTGAGTCATTTAATGTTCTAGAGTTATGCCCCTTTTTAACTTGGAAAATTGCAAAGCTTGAGCCGGGGCATTCATGTCCTCTTAGACACATTATTCTTTTATTTCTTTTGTGGGTTTCGATTTCCTTTTTGGTATCTTTGTCTCCTTCGTTTTATATCCAAAACACAAGTAACAAGAAAATTATTCGTTTAGAACACATTTGTATATACCTTGTAGGATAAATTATACATTAATTAGAACACCTCTTATAAATTGATGGTATCTTGGATTTTCAATGAATTAAAGTGTTTTTGTGTATTTCAACTTCATTAACCAATTCATAAGCATTTTGGGGGAATTTAAAGGAACAACAGATACTCCAAACATGTGAATTTTAACATTGGGATTATTTTGTTTCTTTTGTCATGTATGTGATCACATAAAGTGCTCAAACATATCCTTAGTGCAATTTGTTTTTACAAATCAACAATATTTATAAAAAGGGCACACTTATCTTTGATGTGCAAATTTCACCCCACACGAACACACAACAACCTGCAAAAATGTCCATGTTAACAGTAGTGTATTGGCAGCATGTATCACTTATCTCTACACAAATATGATTAGGGTTTTCAGCCTTGACAGTTCATGGTAGGAAATTTTCTATTTATAGAAAGAAGATGTTGAGTCCTTAGCAGGTTACCTGTCTTTGCACCAATCAGCTGGAGGGCTGACGGTCATGTGGACACCAAATCAGTTGATGAATGGATGTATAAAAGATGAGGAAGAGGATGTTGATAGGAGGTAAGAATACAAAGGAGACATTTGTCAAGTGGCCCAGATTACATATATTGAAATTATATGACATTATTGGTTGCAGTTCTGAATTATGATTTAGCCTTTGTTTTGTATATGGCAAATGCAGTTGTGCAAAAATGGCTGAAATGTTCATTTTGTTGTTAAAGATTTGGATCAATACATAAAGAATGTGGCAAGGTTAAACAGGTTTGTCAGCACTCAACCCTCCAAATAAACTGAGACACAAAAAAAGAGCATAGTGTATAATTCAGTTCGAAAGGCTTATTGGTATTTATTGATACAGATTGGTACTTGATGCACAAAAAAGCAAAAAACAAAATGACAGAAAACACAAAGTACCAATCTAAGATTAAAAAATAGTTCAAAGCCTAATCTCAACTAATTAAAAAAAAACATGTTCTCCCACACTAAAATGGCTACCATGTTTGAATGTCCCTTTGGTATCTTTTGCCTCTCTTCTCCAGTACACATCCAATGGATTTTTTGTAAAAACATCATATAAATAACTGTTTGTGATCAATAGCTTATCTTTAATCAAAATTTTCTTCAATTTTTCAAGATTCTATAGTACTTTTAAACATATATTATAATGCCTATTATATAAAAAGAAAGCTATATAACTTCCATATCAAACATGACATTTAAAAGTACCAACAGTACATTATAAAAGATTCATGACATCGGAAATAATGGCACATTAAATGAGAACAAAAATAAATCCTACATTAACACATCATTAATTTATATATGCATCACAATATTTATCTATTTTAAGAATAACATATCCCACTCGTGTTATCTACTGTGCTGAAAATAAATTTAGTGCATGCAAGCATGGTATAATTTAGACTATACTGAAAGTATTGTCCACAAACCAGAATCTATAAGTATTAATAAAAAAAACTGCCACCCACTCGTTTCCACTCTCAATTGATTTGTGTTGTTAGTTCGGTAATATTGGAAATTAATGTTTAATGATAAAAATACAAATAAAAGATAACATTAAATAGTAATCATCTAGTTGTGTAGATATCTCAGATAAAGGTCAACCACAATCCAAATTAGTAGGATGTAAGCATATTAAACAAATTGTAAAAAAATGGTAGAAGATATCAAAGGGCAAGCAAAGTCACAAGTTGAAAAAGGACAGACAAGGCCATGACCAAAAGACAAAAAAAAAAAACAGAAGTCCACAAAATACCACCAATAAAAATACAGATTTCAGGGTGTCACATGTGGAGCAGGATCTGCTTCCCCTTCCAAAGCCCAGAGCACTTGAGATCACCTCCGGTTTTTGTGGGGTTTGTATTGCTCTGTCTTTAGTTTCTATCTGTTGTTTGTCTGTTTTTCATTGTTTGCCATGGCATTGTCAGTTTGTTTTTATGCCCCCGCCGAAGTGGAGGGGGGCATTAAGTTTTACCCTTGTCCGTCCGTACGTCCCAAAATTGGTTTCCGTTCTCTAACTTAAGTTTGCCTCAACCAAATGTTATGAAACTTATACACAATGTTTATTACCACAAAACACAGATCAAGTTTGAATTATGGTGCCGTCACTTTAACCGCTCTAGAGTTATGCACCTTTATAAATGGAAAAATTGCAAAATTTTTCATTTCCTTTCTCTAACTTAAATTTGCCTCATCCAAATGTAATGAAACTTATACACAATGCTTATTACCACAATACACAGATCAAGTTTGAATTTTTGGGGCGTCACTTTTACTGTTCTAGAGTTATCCCCCTTTACAAATTTTTCCAATTTTTCATTTTTTTTCCAAAAATATCAATGTCATTCAAGTAATTTTTAAAATTGGAGTTATCTTCCTTTGTCCATGATTATAGTTAAATCAACTACAATCAATGCTTTATACAATGCAATGTTTAATTTTGCCTTCCACTGATAAAACACAGATTAAGTTGAATTTGGGTAGTGTCACTTTAACCATCATTGAGTTATGCCCATTTATAAATAAAAAAATTGCAAAATTTCTAGTTTCCATTCTGTAACTTAAGTTTGCCCCAACCAAACATTATGAAACCTATACACAATACTCATTACCACAAAACTAAGATCAAGCACAAATATTGTTTCCGTTCTCTAACTTTAGTTTGCCTCAACCAAATGTAATGAAACTTATACACAATACTTATTACTACATAATACAGATTAAGTATGAAATTCGGTGGCGTCACTTTTACCATTCTTGAGTTATGTCCCTTTATAAACATAAAAATTGCTGAATTTTTCGTTTCCGTTCTCTAACTTTAGTTTGTCTCAACCAAATATTATAAAACTTATGTACAACCATTCTAGAGTTATGCGTGTTTACAAATAGAAAAATTGCTGAATTTTTTGTTTCTGTTCTCTAATTAAGTTAGCCTCAACCAAATGTTATGAGACTTACACACAATGCTTGTTACCACAAAACTCAGATCAAGTTCAAATTTGGGTAGCGTCACTTTTACCGTTCTTCAGTTATGTCCCTTTATAACTATATGATATGCAAGCGGGGGCATCATTTGTGTCCACATTTATCTACTTATGAATTTGACTTTCCCTTTTGTATCTTTCGCCTCTCTTTGATCAAAAATGGGGTGGGAGTCTAATTAATTTTGCTCTGGAAGAGTCAACAGTTCCTGTTCCATTAAAGACACCCACCATGTTATTCCTGTTCCATTAAAGACACCCACCATGTTATTCCTGTTCCATTAAAGACACCCACCATGTTATTCCTGTTCCATTTAAGACACCCACCATGTTATTCCTGTTCCATTGAAGACACCCACCATGTTATTCCTGTTCCATTGAAGACATCCACCATGTTATTCCTGTTCCATTAATCATTACTGGATTTATTAGGATTACAACTGAAAATATTAAAGTGTAAACCACCTGAACAATTCAAGAAAATTTAATCAAGACCTGAACAAAATTTATTTTGGTTTTGAAATCAATATCGCTTAGTTTAATTGATTGATTGCATTGTTCAACACTTTTGTGCTATTTTGTGGTGGTCAGTATTTATTGGTATAGGAAGCTGGAGTGCTTGGAGAGAACCACCAACCTTTGGTAGGAAAACTAATAATCCTAGTCAATTAAGATTGCAGTCGAGCACACCCGCCACATGCGGAATTCAAACTCACAACTTCAGTGTTGACAGGCCAGCGATACAGAAGTTCAACTACTTAGACCACTCAGCCACCGAGACCTCTGCTTAGTTTAAACATCTTGATTCACCTGACTCAGCCAGATGAAGGTGAATGATTTTTTGTGATGAAACAAAATAGATTTATTGTCAGTTCCTTTACAGAGTTTGGTTTTGTGTTTTTGATCAGTATTTCCTTGGATTTTGTGATTGTACCTTTTGATTTTTCTTAAAAAATTCTCTTTGAAAAGTTTGTTTATTTGGAAAAAAATGTACATGAAATATTTTTATTTATTTACTGGTGTTACCTATGTGCCAGCCAATCATCTGAGTTGTATAAAAACTTACTGAGACGTACAGTAACTAGTAAAACCCAGTAAGTTATAGCACCAGCTTTTTACACAAAAAACACAAATGAACTATAGCATAATGATAAGCTGAGTATAAACAATGCTATGGTTATGTTACACACTCTCTAGTATAGCTGTTAATCACTCCTGCTCCTATAGGTGCTGCTGTCTTGATTTCGTATCCAAATTTAGTGAAATATATCCTTAGAATTACCCAGCATTACTTGACAAGCACTGTGTAACAGCTAACTTAAAGCTAGGTTTTACCATCTGGACAATCACTGTGTTATCTACATTCTCTAAGCTAGGTTTTACCATATACTTGATACTTAAACACTGCTGATGTTAGGCTATAAGCTAAATGTCTCATGCTTATTTTAACTATATAACTAATTATGATATTCATATTTTATGTTATAAATTATATGGTTTATAAAAAGGTGTTTCTATGACTTAATAATATAATATTAATTGCTATATGATACCATATCCTGTGGATTCACTATTTTTCGTGGGATACTAATTTTCGTGGATTTCGTGGATACAGGGGAACCATGAATTCAAATGTTCAACGAATTTCAAATTTTTTATAAGCTTGTATGAAGATTTTTATAGCAAAACCACGAAATCAAATATCCACGAAAATGCAAGTTTTCCTCAATCCACGAAAATAAATGAATCCACAGTACTGTTAATTCATAAATTATTGCGATGTATTTATTAATGCTAAATGAGACAGTATCAGGTTTGTAATAATAAAAACTTGCAGTCATAATTTCAGAAGTGATTTTCCTTCACAAAATTTTTGCCATCGCATTTATTAAATCTATTATTTTTTGCCAGTATCCAGTGATTGGCAATGATAAATGCACGCATTAATTTCTGAATATTTACAGTATATACCATATATTTATACCTATATGCTGTATTTGCTTTTGATTTGAAATAACCTACTAAACCAAACATCAAACTTTTTTTATGAGTTACTGCTGCCGAAAGGTTGATTTTAGTAAACTACATTTTCTATAAGCTAGGTGTTATGATACTGAGCTAATTGCTAGAATGTACTGAAAAAAGTTTGCTAGATTTTTCATCCAGCTAAATCTGTTTGCTAGGTTAAACTATACAACTGACTACAGTAGGTAAATAGATATAGATTGCTTACTTTATGGTGATGGTCATATTGCGATTAGCTATATATATTTCATTAGTTTCAGTCGTGATATTACAATTAGCAATATATATTTAATCAGTTTCAATCGTGATAATACAATTAGTAATATATATTTCATTAGTTTCAATCGTGATATTACAATTAGCAATATATATTTAATCAGTTTCAATCGTGATATTACAAATGTTGACATTCTTTTCCTTTAAATAACTGAGCACACATGATTCATGCGTTGTCCATCTCTAGCTAAGGGGTTAAATTGAAGTTCACATGAATACGTATTCAATGAGGTCGAATTATTCACTTGCAAGTGAATAATTCATCATCAATGTTTCTTAGCTTATTTTGACAAAATTGAACCATACTGGCTGCTAAAAGCGATTTAGTATTTCACTATTTCATTTCATTAATGATTGAACAAAACAAATCATATTTTATATTTTTTATGTATCTCATAGCTAGTGCCCCTTTAAAAGGGAATTGCAATTTTCAGTTATTTATTTTTTTCATTTGTGATATTGCAATTGGAAATGTATATTTGATTTGTTTTCAATGGCAATATTGCAATTAGAGATGTGAATTGGAAATATGGTTCCATTTGGAAAACACAAGTCTATGGGAATATTGTAGCCTTGGCAATAGATAAACTGTGATTTTACCCTTTTAGCTTTTCATTTTTAAATAGTTTTCACTTGTGCATGGGTATGGTATCTTCCTGTTAGATAAATAAAACAAATAACTTATCAGTGAGAATGCAGTTTATTCTGGATACCTTTTTCTGCCTTCATATTCCATTAGAAACCCGTTCAATCTTCCTAACATCAAGCAAAATAACAGAAGAGCACTTTACTTTGTAAAATGTGAACTGTAAAGATGTGGGCTTAAGTGAAATAAAATATATACACTTAACAGATATTGTTTTATTATTCCAAGCCGAAATCGCCATTGAGTGGTTATAGCATGAATAATAATTGGATCTTTCTAGTTTGGTTATGTAACTGCAGCATGTCGGGAATATTTGATGCATTTAAAACTGATAAAATTTAGATAAAATATAAAAAGCAGGGAGCTTAATAGAATTATAATAAATAGCAGTCAACATAATTGAATTATACATGAATGTAAATTGATCTTCTGTGAATTCAAACCTAATGCTTATTACAGTCAGTTATTTAAATATGATAGATAAATGTCATTTTTCATTTTTCATTTTTTCAGATTTTTTTTTTTTTTTCGATGGAAAACTAAATTTTCAATCTGTTTTTATACGACCGCAAAAAAATTTTGCGGTCGTATATTAGTATGACGTTGGCGTCGTCATCGTTGTCATCGTCGTCCGAAGACACATTGGTTTTCGCACTCTAACTTTAGTTTAAGTGAATAGATCTCTATGAAATTTTACCATAAGGTTCAATACCACAAAAGGACTGATTTTGGGGGTTATGGTACCAACAGTTAAGGAATTAGGGGCCAAAAAGGGGCCAAAAATAAGCATTTTTGTAACTTCCAGACATAACTTGTGTGTAAATTTATGGATTTCTCTGACATTGTTCCACAAGGTTCAATATCACAAAGGGAATGCTTGGATTGATTTTGGGGGTAATTGCCTCCAAATTTTAGGAATAAGGGGCCAAAAAGGGGCAAAAAACAAGCATTTTTCTAGTTTCATGACAATAACTTGTGTGCAAGTGTATGGATCTCTCTGACATTGTATCACAAGGTTCCATATCACAAAGGGAATGCTAGGATTGATTTTGGGGGTAATTGCCTCTAAATTTTAGGAATTAGGGGCCAAAAACAAGTATTTTTCTAGTTTCCAGACAATAACTTGTGTTCAAGTGTATGGATCTCTCTGAAATTGTACTGCAAGGTACCATACCACAAAGGGAAGGCTGGGATTGATTTTGGGGGTAATTCCATCAAAATTTTAGGAATTAGGGGCCATAAAAAAGCAAAAAAACAAGCATTTTTCTAGTTTCAGGACAATAACTTGTGTGTAAATGTATGGATCTTTATGAAATTGTACTGCAAGGTTCCATATCACAAAGGGAAAGCTGGGATTGAGTTTGGGGGTAATTGCCCTTAACGTTTAGGAATTTGGGGCCAAAAAGGGGCCAAAAAACAAGCATTTTTCTAGTTTCCAGACAATAACTTGTGTTCAAGTGTATGGATCTCTCTGAAATTGTACTGCAAGGTACCATACCACAAAAGGAAGGCTGGGATTGAGTTTGGGGGTGATGAATCATAAGGGGGTTCAAAAAATTTGGGGAGGGATTTTTTTTTTCCTTTTTTTTCTTTAAAATTTTCCATTTTAAATTGGTTATTTCTGATTTATATATAAAAGCAAATAATAATGATATGGTTTGAATAGGTAAATTAAAAAAATTTAAGTTCTTAGACCACATTCATTCTGTGTCAGAAACCTATGCTGTGTCAAATATTTAATTACAATCCAAATTCAGTGCTGTATCAAGCTTGAATGTTGTGTCTATACTTGCCCCAACTGTTCAGGGTTCGACCTCTGCAGTCGTATCAAGCTGCGCCCCAGCGGAGCATGTTATTGGCCCTTTTAATAATTAATTAATAAAAACTATTGAGGAAAGAAATATGAATAAAAAATATGTTAGGTAAGAATCAACAGAACAGCATTCAAACAATAAATTAAATACAAAAAAAAAGTTGAACCTGAATTGGTATCTTATGCACTTTTAATAAAATCCTTTATGGTAAAAAATATAAATGAGACAGTAACTCAACAATGATAAAAAAAGGCATCAAAGTCAATATTAAATTAAGTTTTAAATGGTACACAGGAGTCAATACCATATTTCAAGGTCAAACTTAAAGTCACCACAGATAATAAATATTTGAAATTATGTAGTTTAAAATGATTTACTTAGCTTCATACTGTGGCATTAATATTATATTTTATAAATGAAAACCCTTCCCCCAAACAAAGGCAAACCCCTTTTGTACACTTGTAAATCATTTTCTTATCTTTATTATCTCTCTCAGCAGATATATTTCTCCTAATCATAGCCATATTTTCTACAAAGGGGTGGCTTTCTATAGTAATTTATTACATTTTTACCTAATGGTAGATTAGTTTACAAGGGAAAATTTATTTCAACTTAAGAATTTTATTTCTCAACATTCTTAAATTTGATAGCAAAGGAATTACCCTCATATATCTGAAAGTGCTTCCTCACAGCCTATAAATTATACTGGGATTATGCCCTGATAGTATACCTGGATGAAATTGTTTATATACATTGTCATCAACAGCCTATGAATAGAACTGATTTTGTTCTCCTTTCAGTTTATACTGGGATTATGCCCTGACAGTATACCTGGATGAAATTGTTTATATACATTGTCATCAACAGCGTAAGTAACATTATTATTTATTTTTTATGAAACTTGATTGTACATTGTATTGCCTTTTTACACAGTTAATCATCAAATGTTTAAGCTTTTAAAGTTAGTTGGTCAGTCATGCCAAACGCTGATGTTCATTGTCATATAAATGTTTATTCAGATAAAAAGATAAAAAGGAATTACCAAAAAAATTGAACAGTATAATAGATTCCAGGAACCACCAACACTTTCAAAATGAAAAAGAAATTCCAACAAAAATAGACAACAACCAACAGCACATGGTTCAGATAGCTGGATTTGGTACAGGCAAAAAATGTGGTGGGGGCTCAACCAGTTTTATGTGCCCTCAAACCTTCCCCCTTTACACACCAAACCATATGTTGTAAAAGTAAAGTAAAAAAACCTTCACTGTCCAGCTACTAACAGGGTGACCATTAAAATAAACACTGTCTAACTACTAACAGGATGACCACTAAATTCACTGTCCAGTTACTAACAGGGTGACCACTAAAATAAACACTGTCCAGCTACTAACAGGGTGACCACTAAAATAAACACTGTCCAGCTACTAACAGGGTGACCACTAAAATAAACACTGTCCAGCTACTAACAGGGTGACCACTATAATAAACGCTGTCCAGTTACTAACAGGGTGACAACTAAATTCACTGTCCAGCTACTACCAGGGTGTCCACTAAAATAAACACTGTCCAGCTACTAACAGGGTGACCACTAAAATAAACAAGGGAATAAAAGATGGTAGATAATTTGATGATGATGATGATGAATGGCTGCTTAATGTCCAGCGGCAAATTAATATGCATATTCAGGACAAGAACATGTTAATGTAATATGAATATTAATCCTGCTTTGTACTAGTTTTAACGTGCCAGTTCACAAGGTAACAGTTCGCAGGAAGACATGTCACCTTACCTGGACACAATATTCTGACTCCGAGCCGACCAGTCTTGGCTCTTACTCCTAATGCCAGTTGCTTAGTGGAGAAGTAGCCAATACCAATTTAAAAGTCTTTGGTTTGACCCGGCCGGGGTTCAAACCCACAACCTCCCGCACTCAAGGCAAAAAAGCTACCACGAGACTACTGAGGCGGATAGCAGATAATTTGTAAATCAGGGTAAAAATTTGCTCTTTACTTCAAGGGGCAAGCTGTAATTGTCACAACTGTAACATTAAAAAAAAATATGATTAGATACAACACTTCTTACAGGTTTTATGATGTAATCATATAATGTTGACAGCTGTGTGTTATGAAAAATATAAGAATATCTATTTTCTTGTTTTTAAAGGGGCACTAGCTGTCAAATTTATGTTCACCGATTTGACTCAAATTCTCATATTAGATTTATAACAATGTAAAACATTTATCCAAATTAAAAAAGTGTAAAATAAACAATTTACAGGGCATGGGCTCAATAATATGTAAGCTTCGTTTCGTGTGTAGTTTAGTCTAGACGCCATCTAATAAACTATCGAGATGACCCCAAAAACAACCGACGGTTACATAACACGATATAAACATAAACATAAAAATAAATAGATATATGAACCTCGTGCAAATGGATTTTTCTATGTCTGTTTGATTTCAAGTTTAAGGTTTAAAAAATAAGTTAATTTTCGATTTTACCTGTATAAGAATGATATTTTGTGGATCGAATCAGTCTATCAAATGATTTACCTTTGTTTCACTTTCAATGTTGACATTCTTTTCTTTTAATAACCTAACACGCATCAATCATGCATAATTTTTTGGGGCCCTTTATAGCTTACTGTTCGGTGTGAGCCAAGGCTCTGTGTTGAAGACCGTACTGTGACCTATAATGGTTTACTTTTATAAATTTTGACTTGGATGGAGAGTTGTCTCATTGGCACTCATACCACATCTTCTTATATCTATATAATCCATCTCTAGCTAAGGGGTTAAATTGAAGTTCACATGAATACGGATTTAATGAGGTAGAATTATTCACTTGCAAGTGAATAATTCATCATCGATGTTTCTTAGCTTATTTTGACAAAATTGAACCATACTGGCTGCTATAAGCGAATTATTATTTCATTATTTCACTTTCATTAATGATTGAACCAAAAAATTCAGAATTTAATTGTTTTATGTATCTCGAAGTTAGTGCCCCTTTAAAGATTTTTTTTTAATATATTTTAAACATATTATTTAGAAAACTACACAAATCAAAATTTACTGCTTGTCTTTTTTCAGCTGACTGTGGCGGTACAATTGTTCTAGTTGGCCAAGATGGAGTACAACGTCCACCTATTCATTTTCCAAAGGGCGGTCATCTGTTGGCCTTCCTGTCCTGTCTTGAGAATGGCCTGCTACCACATGGTCAACTTGACCCGCCCCTTTGGTCACAACGGGGTAAAGGTAGAACCTTACATGTAACCTGAAGTAATACCATAGTTCTGTTTATTAGAATCATAATGTGTCGTATTTTCATTAAATAAATTTCTTTGGCCTTAACTTTTTATATATATTCTTTGTTCCTTTATATTTCTTTCATTATGAAATTTTAAATCAGAATTATCAAAAAATGAGCTTCACTGAAGAGACATTAATTGTAGAAATGTGCATCTGGAGCAGTAAATTTGGTACCGTAAATGTTAATAAATCTTAGTAGGTTTTTTTTTATTCTTTTGGTATTACTTCAGGAGTGAGGACATACTTTAGATTCTTTAATAAATTTCTATTTGAGAAACTTTTGAAAATAGCAGTTGACCTTTGTGTAGTGTATGAGTATTCAAAGTTCAAGAAATTGATGTCAAGATATTTTTTTTCTAATTTGTCAATTTTTAATGTTTAGAAAGCCTGATTCATGTAACAGTAAATTCACATTTATTCAGAGAGTATAGTTTTTTGTGATTCTGAATAACATCTCATCAGTAAAGAAGAAGATACCTATTGACTAAATAATACAAATTGTTATGTCAACTTAGTTGTAAAGTTTATTTCATGTATTTTCACAATTCAGTGTCACTGTTTAATGTCATAAATGTTTTTAATGTCAAGATGCAGTAACTTACCTAACTTAATTTCAGTACCTAACAATATAAGCCCATATGTACTTTACCTGACCAGTTTAGTAATTACTTTGATAATAAATGTGTGATTGGCTTTTCACCATTCGTCACTGGTCGAATTCAATTGTGACATAAAATTTTTTCTTGCTTTTCTCTGTTTCAGTTTGAGAAGTCATGAAAATTTAGATCACTTCAGATAAGATTTCAGAGAAAGAGTACACAAAACTTTTTATAAGTTTTTATAACGATAAATTTTGCCTACATTTCATTTTAAAATCATTGGAGAAACCGGTTCCACCTCTGTTTCTCATGTAATATAATATATTTCTTTACTTTATACATTAAAATTATAAATATTTAACTGTCTCCAGCGGCAAAATATCTAATTTTAGTGGTAATTACTATATAAATTATATGCATAGTTACATCTTAAATCAGTCTATTAAACAAAGGTTTGATTGTATTCCCACAAAAGTGAATAACAAAACAATCCATGCTGGTCATTGTGCTGTGACTATAATTCATTAAAAACAAATTCAGAAACCAATGGAAATATTTTTGTAATGATTAGATAATCTTTGTAAGAGTAATATTGCTGTTCTTCATCTGGACTATATGCTGGAATGTCTTCAACAAGATACAGAATAGCCAACTTGTTCCACTTAGATCAGAAAATTGTGATCCATTATGATTATAAAGGAGTAGATTTGAGTTAAGGCTGATAACTTTAAATCAGAAATGTATTTGTACTAGTCATGCTTCATCAATGCTTTCAAGCATTGATATGAAACAGACATAAAATATACTGTGTTACTTAGAGGCTTAGAATTTTAAATTGAAAATGCCTGATACAAACATACTAGTGATTATAAGTGTTATTTCCCTTACCCTAGTTTTACTTTTAAAAAGGAAGATATTTATTGCGAACCAAATGAAACTTTTCCACAGAATCATCTCCTATTGGTCATTCTATTTAAACTTTTGTCAGTTCTATTGTCCCATTTAATAAATACAATAGCTATTGTTCTCTGTGTAGTTTATTCACTGGGACCTTTAAATTTCTTCTAAGAGAAATCCATCACTCATTGTTTAATTTACCTGAGTAAAAAATTATCTTCTAAAAGATGAAAATAAATGTTTTAACTCACAAAAGTGCATGTGATGTTGTATTTATTCATTAACAATAATATATTTTCAATCTGTTCAATGTAAACAGTGATTCAAACATTAAATGTTGATTTCTGACAAAATTTTCAACATTGTTCCTATTGAAATAATTTTTTTTGTGTTTGACAAATAAAAACTGGAAAATGATGATGTTTAAATTAAGGTCTTCTTAACTGTATTCTATAACTAAACAAAAACAAAAATATGCAAATTTCAATTGGAACAATGCTAAATATTTTGTCAGAAATCAACTTTTTATGATTAAATCAGAGTTTTTATTGAACAAATTGAAAATGAAATATTGATATTAAATAAATACAACATCACATGCAGTTTTGTGAGTTAAAACATGCATTTTCATCTTTTAGAAGATATTTTTTTACTCAGGTAAATTAATCAATGAGTGATGGATTTCTCTTAGATGAAATTTAAAGGTCCCAGTGAATAAACTACACAGAGAACAATAGCTATTGTATTTACTTAATGGGACAATAGAACTGACAAAAGTTTAAATAGATTGACCAATAGTAGATGACTCTGTGGAAAAGTTTCATTTGGTTCGCAATAAAATAAAAGTCAAATTCAAATTGTATCTAAAAATACTGAAATATCTATAAACATATATACTACTTCTCATTTACAATTTTTTCAAGTCATTTTTCTTCTACAGGAAAAGTGTTCCCTAAATTAAAGCGTAAAGGAAGTCGTCTGTCAAACATTGTACAGTCAGACAGAGGTGGAAGTACAGGAAGTTCCAGTAGTACCAGTTCTACAGATGATGATGAGGCTACCGATTATGTGTTCAGGATCATTACTACATTCAGACCTGATATTATACGTATGTTCATATTTCATTATCCTAACAAGTGTAAAGTGGGAATTTTTTGTGGCAGGTTAATTTTCACTAGTTTTGTAATTAAGATATCCTTAAATATCTTGTTTATCTTTTAAGAGAATCAGAATTTCGTACATGAAAAATGCAAGAATGAACCTCTCAAACAGGGTTGGTCTTAGAAATTGGGAAAATTAGTCTCTCTACAGTATAGTCTGTTAATAAGATGTATAGAATTTTGAAGATTTATTGTTGCAGAGTTGTGGGACTTGCATTGTGAAAATTTCAATGAACAAAAGTAAGGTGTATCATGCACTCATATTGCAGCTGTTTTTAAAGGCAATTTTGTCTGTAATAAAAATGATATTCCATTTGTTTTATAATTTATATTTTGTTTTGTGCATGAATTTTTCAGCTCCAGAAATGATGGATCCTAAAGCCAAAATCAAGGGAGATAACTTCTCTTGGGCCAGTAAAATTCCCCGACTGCCTAGTCCCATGATACAGACATCAGTACAGACTTATGCCCGATCTCAGGAAATACAGAACAACACTTGTCTTAAGACAGGGGCCAACCACAGGTACAAACAGTATGTGACATTTATATAAATATATCTTATCGAAAGACAGGAACCAATTACAGTTAAAAACATTTTGGACATTTATGAGAAGAAACTGATATTTCAAAGGAATATTTACAGATTTTTATGCCAAACAACCTGGCCAATTTGGCATATTTGTTATATAGTGGCAAACATTTAGTTATGGCATATATTTTTAAGTATAAATTTGAGATCTTAAGACAAGGACCAAGCACAGGATCAAACAGTATATGATACTGAACGAATATATCATGTTTAGGAGAGATGTTTGCAAAAAATACCAGTCGTGATAAGATAAGATTTCCTAAGCTGCTAGGCGAAGGAAATTTCTTCTCAAGAATATCATTTTCACAAAGACCCTTCAAGAACATGATGTATCTGTTTAATTACACCTAATACCAAAAGAGATGGTAAAGTTAACTAATAGAAATTCTAATTCCATTATTGTTTTGCTATCAAGACCTTAGCAAAAAACATGCATGTTTAATAAAGTCGCAAAAATTAATCATTCGTGAAAATAAGTTGATTTACCGTATTCATGTACATATTACACAGCATATGACAGAATATGAACAAATTTCATCTGATAAAAGAAAATATGTAAAAAAAAAACACTAGTTATCAACCATTCAAATTCCAGGATACTTATAAGAGGTGTAATTATTATATAAGGGTCTTACTATAAATGTTATAGGGAGTATAATAAGCTACGTAAATATAAACAAAGGAAATTTAAACAAAACATTCTTGACAGTCTGGATAATCTAAGGGATAATAATCCAAAGAGTTATTGGAATCTCATCAAAGAATTAAAAGAAGACAATTTGGATGGTCCAGAACATTCTATTCAAACTAACGTCTGGTTTTCATATTTTCAATCTTTAAATCTCAACTCTGACAAATTTAAAGACAGATTAAAGGAAATTAACAAGAAAGTAAAAAATTTAGAAAATAATCCAACTTTTTGTGAACTGGATTACAAAATAACCCTAAAAGAAATTTTGGATGCTATAAATAAACTAAAGAATAATAAAGCTGCAGGACTAGATGGTATCCCAAACGAGATATTGAAATCAGGGGGTAGTATATTTGCACCTGTTTTGCAGAAAATTTTTAACTTGATATTCTGCTCTGGAACATACCCTCACAAATGGTCATTGTCTTATTTATGTCCAATTTTTAAAGCAGGGAGTCCTAGTAAACCTGAAAATTACAGAGGCATAGCAATTAATTCATGCATTGGAAAATTATTTAACAGTATTCTTAATAAAAGACTTGACATTCATCTTGATAAAAATAATATAATTCATCCATGTCAGGTTGGTTTTTCGAAAAAGAGCAGAACATCTGACCATATGTTTGTTTTAAAAACCATATTAGATAAATATACTGACAGAAAAGGGGGAAAATAGTGGTCATACACTGTGGTTTTAGATACAAATTATTGGAAAATAACATATCTGGAAAATTTTATACTATTTTAAAAGATATGTACAGAAAAAATGAAATGTCGGTGAAAGTGGGTAATGTACTAACGCCATCATTCAGCTCGCTAGTTGGGGTTAGGCAAGGGGATGTTCTAAGCCCAAATTTATTTAAGCTTTTCATTAACGATCTGCCTCCAAGATTTGAGTCGAGTCCAGATGCTGTTTATATCAATGGGCGTAGAATTGATTGTCTTATGTATGCCGATGACATTATTATATTATCAAACACTAAACAGGGTCTTCAAAACCGACTTGATAAACTGCACACTTATTGTATTGATTGGTGTCTAGATGTAAACTTGTCCAAAACAAAAGTTTTAATTTTTAACAAGCCTGGAAAATTTTTGAAGGAATCACTTTGTTTAGATAATGAGGCTATAGAATGTGTTAACAGATATAAATATTTAGGGATAGTCTTTACTTCTAGTGGTCTTTTTCAGCAGGGGAAAGAAGAGCTATTCAAAAAGTCCTTAAAGGCAAAATTTAAACTACAAAAATCCATGTCAGCTTGTAATCCAAGTATTGATACTGCAATCCATTTATATGATCACACAATAAAACCAATTTTATTATATTGTAGTGAAATCTGGGGTACCTTTAAGATTAACTCTGCTGCTTGCAAGAAAAAAAGTGATTATCTATTTGAATTAATTTACATAAATGATTATTTGGAAAAATCACATTTCAGGTATCTAAAATGTATTCTTGGTGTAAATAAAAAAACCTCAAATTTGGCAGTGTTATCAGAGGTTGCAAGATTTCCTCTTTATTTTTCTGTCATGATATCTATGGTAAAATATGTACACAGGCTTAACAAATTGGACGATGGGTTACTTTATGATGCTTATGTTTGTAATAAAATTTTAGATGCAGGAAACATTAATTGTTGGTATTCATCTATGAGATATGTCCTTCAATCACTTGATATACAAAATTTGAATACAAAGCTCAATAAATTAATTAAATTTGTAAAATGTAAACTTTGTAACAGTTTTAAAACATATTGGGTGGTCAAAAGATCTGATACCTTATCACAAGGTAATAGTAAATTAGAAAATTATTTCAACCTCAAGACTGACTTCGTAAAGGAGGCTTATTTATCAATTAAAGATTTTAATATAAGAAGAGCTATATGTAAATTGAGAGTAAGTGCACATGATCTTAAAATTGAGAAAGATAGATATAGTAAAAAATACATAGAAAGAAGTCAGTGTCTATGTCATCACTGCCTATCACATGGATCAAATTCTATTGAAGATGAGACCCATTTCACAGTAAGTTGTCCTTTATATAACGAACAGAGAAAATTATTATGGGATAAAGTAAACAGTTTTTGTAATAATTTTAAAGAATTACCCAAGGATAAAAAATATTTCTGGCTGTTCACAAATGAGCATTTACCAACTCTTATGTGCCTAGGCAATTATATAATTAAGTGTTTAGAAATAAGATCCAGGTGGATACAAAATATATAAAATAATATTTAATTATTATGAAATTATTGTTATAGTTATGTAAGACACATGATGTGTTAGGCTCTGATCCTGTCCATAATATGATAGTATTATATTCGGATCTAGTTTTTCTTTTTTCCAGTCATATTGTGCTTAATATTGTTGTAAATGATGCCCTTTATGGGTTCTTGATTAGATTAATAAAATTCTTATCTTATCTTATAAGTATATCATCATGAGGCAGTGGCCAACCATAGGAGCTAAATAATTGTGATATAATATATGTTATATTTATCATCTCAAGATAGTGGTCAGCCACAGTCAGAAACAGTTTGTGTATACTATACTTCTAATCATGGGTGTAATTTCAGAAACTTTTAAACTGATGATAAAAAATTAAATAATATTATATATGTACAATACAGTTAATTCAAATGAAACCTTGGACAAAAATGCAATATTAATTTTGCTATAAAAATTTGAAGTTTTTAATTATTTTTTTTTTCGTGAAATCTATTACATTGCATTTTTTGCAATAAGACAAATATCCAAAAAAAATATGAATTTACTTTACAGATACTATATATGTATTTATATTGATATTAAAATAAATTAATTGTATATAACAAGTAACAATAATTTTGTTATTTTCAGAGCAACAATCAAACAGTTGTGTGATACCATGAGGAAACAGATTATATCTAGGGCATTTTATGGATGTATGTTTCACATTACATCATACTCTAATTATTTCTCTATCACATTGTTTTCTTGTTTGTGCATCTGTTAGTCTTTCTATCTGTTCATCCATCAGGTGTCAGGTTAAAGTTTTGATTTAAGGTTGTTAACCATCAACTTTAAAATTAGTGCACATGTTTATTATGATGTGAAATGTTAAAAATATTTGCCAACTTAGAATTTGAACTCAGATTTTGCAGTTTACTGGAATTGTTATATTGTGAATGGAACATGTTTTCCTATCAACACATATCCTTGTTTTTAGATGCATAAATCTTTTGATCAGAAGTGGTGTTTTAAGAAACAGTAGCTTTTGTAATTATTTTCATTATAGTTGATTCATACATGAACTTGGTGTTACGATAATAAAAAACGATCTGAAATGGGACCAAAAAAATTACAAAAAGGCTCATTTATGGCTTTGTTTTATTTTTTATGACGTCTTGAATTCTGAAATACCTTATTTTCATTTTGTAGTATTTCAATTTTAATACAGACATTAAGAAAAATTTTAATAAGAATTAAACTAAGTAACAATTTGTTGTTTCACCTGCCACTGACAAATGTTGTGGAAGGGAAACTAATGCATGCAGGTGGCATTTACTATTGTTAAAGTTTGTGATTAGGTTACACAGGTGAGACACATCTCTATGTTAACACTATATTCTTCATCTTATTTTTACTGAATTAATAAAAATATTGTGTCTTGAATTATTTAAAATTTCTATTTACCAGGGTTAGCACACTGTAGACATTTAAAGACAGTGAGAACACATCTGTCTGGACTGGTCCTCCATAAAATAGTCCCAGCAGATAAACCCTATGATGGTTCATGTGGACTGACAGAACAGAAGTGGATTGAATTACAGAAGGATGGCACAGTAAGAACATTGGATTTGAGTTATCTCCCTTTGAATGAAAAACGATGTTGGTTTTAAAGTATTCATCTGTAAAAAAATATACCGCTATATCTATAAAAAAGACTGATTCCCAAATACATGTATAATATCAGTGGTAAAAATGAGATGTTTATAAGTTTGATGGACTTACTGAAACAAGAACCACACAAACTCTGTGATGACGGGGTATTCTTTTAGTTGCATGTTTGAATTGAATATTGTTTAAAATCAACATTAAATGAAAATCAATCAAGTTGATGACAGAAACTTCCTACTGTAAGGATCTTGACTTTTCCATAAAAAAAGTCAAAAGTCAGTAGTCAAAAGATTTATGAGGAATTTCTCACAAGATATGTTGGATAGAAATGTGACTAGAAATAAAAAACAATCACTCATGCAGGCTTTCTTTTTGAGGTTTTCAAGTAACCTTTAACAATCTGCAATTTGATTAAATATCTTGGAATCGAAAGGAAATTTTCGGAAATCTTTAGAGAGACCATATAGATATATAGAGCATTATTTTAAAATTTCTGATTGATCCATGTAGCAATATAACAGTTTGATTGTTTCATTACAAAGAATTTAGTATTGGTGGCGCCAATAAACATGTCTACTGATACTAATATTTCCACCTTTTGAAATTCAAGTATAGTAAGAGTTAGCTCCCTTTTGTCAGATATTTTCACTATGATTGTATAGCAATATTCATAATTTTATATTTATTTTTAAAAATAATTATCAAACTTCAGTCCATTAACAAAATATTTACATAAAAAACAAATTTTCACTAGATCACAGATGAACAAGAAATTCACAGACTGGTGTATTATGGTGGCGTACAACATGAGATAAGAAAACAGGTGGGTTCATTCTTTCACATATAATATAATTGTAGTTTTTTTATCCAAGTCCACGAAAATTGATACCCATGAAAATAAATTAATCCACAATTATAAACATAAACAATGATTAGATAGGACGTAGATTTTTTGTCTAGCCTGCGACTTTTGTCACAGAAAGCTCGACATAGGGATAGTGATCGGGCAGCGGCGGTAACTAATTTCTTAAAAGCTTAATATTTCAGAAGTTAGAAGACCTGGATGCCTTATGATATGAAGTTTCCATCTGTCATATGTCCATTGTCCTTGACCTCATTTTTATGGTTCAGTGACTACTTGAAAAAAAGTTAAGATTTTTTGTAATGTTAATTTCTCTCTTATTATGAGTAATAGGATAACTATATTTGGTATGTGCGTACCTTGCAAGGTCCTCATGCATGTCAGACAGTTTTCACTTGACCTCGACCTCATTTCATGGATCAGTGAACAAGTCCATATCTCAGATACTATAAGCAATAGTATATCTATATTTGGTGTATGTAATGATTGTAAGGTGTACATGTCCAACTGGCAGGTGTCATCTGACCTTGACCTCATTTTCATGGTTCAGTGGTTTAGTTTTTGTGTTTTGGTCTGTTTTTCTTATACTGTATGCAATAGGTTAACTATATTTGGTGTATGGAAAAATTTTACGATGTACATGTCAGTCTTGCAGGTTTTATTTGACCTTGACCTCATTTTCACGGTTCATTGCTCAATGTTAAGTTTTTGTGTTTTGGTCTCTTTTTCTAATACTGTATGCAGTAGGTCAACTATATTTGGTGTATGGAAATATTTTACGATGTACATGTCAGTCTGGCAAGTTTTATTTGACCTTGACCTCATTTTCATGGTTCATTACTTATGTTAAGTTTTTGTGTTTTGGTCTGTTTTTCTTAAACTTTAAGCAATAGGTCAACTATATTTGGTGTATAGAATGATTGTAAGGTGTATATGTCTGTCTGGCAGGTATCATCTGACCTTCACCTCATTTTCATGGTTCATTGGTCAATGTTCAGTTTACCTGGTTAACTTTGTTTCTTAGATACTATAAGCAATAGGTCAACTTTATCTGATGCATGGAATGATTTTAAGGTGTACAAGTCTGTCTGGCAGGGTTCATCTGACCTTGACTTCATTTTCATGGTTCATTGGTCAATATAGAATTTCCATGGTTTGGTCTGTTTCTTTTATACTATAAGCAATAGGTCATCTATATTCTGTGTATGGAATGATTGTATTAAGGTGTACATGTATTTCCGGCTTGGTTTATCTGACCTTGACCTCATTTTCTTGGATCTTAAATGTTAATGTGATACTTGTACTTAAACTTTATATGTAGGACTATCAACGTAAAATCAATGGTCAGTAAAATATGCAAGACATTTCAGCGTGTGCACTCTTGTTTAAGTATCAGATTTCTTTTTTTTATATCAAAATTATCTTAAATTTCATTTTTCCACCAAATTAAAGGAAAACAGGCCAGTTTCCATTATATATAATGCATTAACAAACAAAAAATCTTTCAATGTTTTGTTGTTTATATCTAATAACTTTTCTGACCTGAATATTTAGTCTGTCAAGACCCTGTGACTCATTTCTAAAATATATCATGATTAAAGTCGATCATAAGTTATACTGAAATGTTCATGACTTATTAGAATTTTCACTCATCAGATTTTTTGTGAAAAGAGTCACTGACCTCTATATATGTTTCCTAGTCCTAAAGGAAATAGAAATCCAGAAAATTTTGTCAACCTTCATCAAAATCTATTTGTACCCATTTTGAGTGTAAATGTCAATGTTAAATGAGGAAAGCTAAACCAAATAGAATATCACATATTTATGCATTATTTGAAACAATTTTCATCTTTAAATAATGAACATAATATTCAGGGTAAAAAAAAGGGCCCTTACCACACCTACTCCTTTTTAGTAAGGACTGACAGGTTTATTTTTCATATGAATAAAGGGATATATGGAGTTTTGCCATTGACATAGCAACCCAACGACACAAAAAAAACAGACATCCAGCATTCAAAATATAGCCTGCAAATAAAAGACAAATGCCTATATATTGGTATAATATGTCAAGCTCTAAGTCATCAAGAATCTAGAAAAGATTTAAATAGACTTAACAGAAAGTATCAAAGGTTGCTGAAAACTTCAAATTCCGAAATGGCAAAAATGAATTAACATATTGTATAACAAAAGAGAACCACTATTTAAAACAGGTTCCTTACTTCAGACAAGCAAGTAGAGTTTAAAATAAAGTCCACTGTATTTCTTTTAATTACAGGTGTGGCCATACTTGTTAGGACACTATGCTTTCTCTAGTACCCCTGATGATAGAGTCAAAGTAGATAAACAAATGAGATGGTTGTATGAAAAGACAATGTCCGAATGGTTAGCTGTTGAAGCCATTGTCAGACAAAGAGAAAAAGAAATCATGGCGGCTAACCTACAGAAAATGTCTTCTGAAAGCACAGATGGGCAAATTCCTCTTGTAAGGAAAGATTCAAGTTTAAGTAATGATGTGTTTGAATCACAAAGTTTTGATGAATGGGAAGACTTTTCACACCCTGAGACAGTCCCTGAAGAGAGTTCAGCTACTGGTACAACATGTACACCAACTCCAGACAGAAAACAAAGTATGGATCTTCCACTTCAAGATCAGGTGATTGATAAAATGAAACAGACTAAAGAATTCTTGTTGGAAAAAAGAGATTATGTCATTTCATCATTTTCTGATAGTCCAGATGATGGACTGGGTGATTCTATAGCAAGACAAAGTTCTCAGGAACGTAGCAAACTTGATTCCGCTGGAGACTCAGAAGGCACGGACATTTCAAAATTAGACCGAGATGGCAGTATAGATCGGTCATATGTAACACCAAAGTTGTCATGTTCTGCAGACAGTGCAGAGGCTGATGAGGAGGATGGTGGAGAATCAGATGATGAAGCTGAGGATGATGATGATGAGGATGAGGACAAAGAGATTGATGATGACAGTCGTAGAGAATCTTTATTGACAGTGGAAAGTGCAAAGACAATTGAGGGAGACTCAGGTAATGTTAAATGGTTGAGTGATTACACATAGCTGCTGTTTTCTACTGTCATTTTTTTTCAATTTTACAACTCTATATTGTAAGTTATTCAGAGCTGCATTCATACACATTTATATTCATTTTCCAAGACCTGTGTAAGGCATCTTCCTGTAGTAAACAATGTGTTTATCTGCCATTGATTGAAAACCTCCATTGGGAGGTCTAACAAGTATGCTGATGGGTTGTGTAACATTTAAAATATTACATATGTTTTACTTTATCAAACAAGTTACCATTCCCAGGAATGTCCTTTTTTCTAGATACATTTTTAAGGATGAAATGATTGTAAGTTTGCAATATTAAAGGGGTTTTAAGTTTTCAAGGTTGCTGGGATTGTAAATATCTTGTTAAGATTTCCATATATGTTGTACCTAAAGAATTAAGTGCAAGCTTAAACATTTCTTATGTGTAACTTAAGGTTTATTTTGTTGGAGTTGTAAATTCGTTTTGTTCATTTACTGTTGTGTTAAGTGAACACAATTTTCTCTTTATCAATAAACGTTTTGTTGCAAGTATTGTACAAATGTTAATATCACATATCAGCAATTTGATCAATATTAGTGTTTTATGTTAATTTTTTAAACTTACATGATAGTCTCATATGGAACTAAAATATTGTTTTTAGATCACATGAGAAAGTTATCAACATCCAGAGAAAGTCTGATCTCACCAGCTTCACCAGCCTCCCATGGTGGAGTATACTCAGTAAGTATAACAACATTGGAAATACAGCTTCAGTAAACTTTTCTTGATTAGCGGCAAACTAGATCTTGACATGTAGTAAGGATGCTTTCCACCATAGGAGATCTATGTTGACCAGTAGATTTCAATTTTGGCTAAATCATGATGTTGGGTGACTGTCTCATTGTCATTTAAGCTTCATCTCCTTTTATTTGTAAAAAATGAGTAACAAAAAGATATGAGAACATACTAAGGAAGATATTAAAACCATAGGTTAAGAATAATCAGCCAAAGTCATGGTGTAAGGACAATGAAAAGAAAGACAACAGTTCACAAAACACTACACAAAAAACTAAAGCTGAGCATCATGAACTGCACCAACAACTAGACGGGAACTCATCTGCTGCTCAAGAAGTTTCAGCAGTTGCTGCTCCACTAGTTGTATCATCAAAATATATCAGTTAAGAACTTAATAGCTTCAATAGGTTGACAAGACACTAAAAACAAAATGTGATTTTATTATTAATCATTTAATTGTAAGAAATTAGTTTATCAGTCAATGTTTTTTCTGACCAGAAATAATGTTTGATCTTTTATGTTACAGCCCGCCATGTTAGATAGTGTTGCATTAAATCTACACAGAATTGACAAAGACGTACAGAGGTGTGATAGAAACTATTGGTATTTTACAATACCAAATCTTGATAAGCTACGCAATGTTATGTGCACGTAAGTATATTAGATAGTTTTTAAAATTTTGAAATACTTGAAATTCTTCTCATCTGACATGAGGTCTTGAAAATACAGAAAAGTTCTTTGGACACACAAGATTTTTAAAGTGTTATTTTCATTTTGAAGTAAATAAAGAATATTGCACAATGCTTTTAAGGGGTTCACTTTTTAACATTTGAGTTTTGTCTTCACAAAGTTTCAATTTGGCTCTTTTCTTGTTTCTGATTCTAATCTATCTTATGGATCAAATTTTAAGCAAAGGGATATTTCATGATTTTATCTTTAACACAGAATAAGCAAAAATAATTACTCTAAAAATGTTTTAATTTTACAGTACCAGGTACTTTGAAGTCTTATGGTATAAAAATACTTTGTATAGTTTTAGAGTTTACAAAAATTTTATATTGCTAAATTATTTTCCTTTATGTCAAGTGACATAAGAACAATTTTAAAGATTTTCAGTGATTTCCTCTTTCTAATAGCTTTAAAGGGCTATATAATGCAGTGAAACGAGTTTAAACCTAACTCCATGTGTGGGAACCTTAAAGATATGCTAGTTACAGGCCTGTGTAATTTCAAAGCTTTCTAAAATTTTATTTTCAGATATGTGTGGGAACATTTAGACATAGGCTATGTACAAGGGATGTGTGATCTAGTAGCACCACTTCTAGTGATATTTGACGATGGTATGTTACATAAATAATCAATGTAAACTTTTGTCTTTTAAATATTGAAAGGAAGTGGAAAACATCATTTACTTCAATTTAAATATTGTTTATGCCCCCGCTGTAGCGGAGGGGGCATTAAGTTTTACCCTTGTCCATCTGTATGTCCGTCCGTCCATCTGTATGTACGTCCCAAAATTGGTTTCCTTTCTCTAACTTTTGTTTGCTTTGACCAAATGTTATGAAACTTATACACAATGCTTATTACCACAAAACACAGATCATGTTTGAATTTTGGTGGCATCACTTTTACCTTTCTAGAGTTATACCCCTTTAGAAATGGAAAAATTACTGAATTTTTTATTTCCGTTCTCTAACTTTAGTTTGCCTCAACCAAATGTTATGAAACTTATACACAATGCTTCTTACCACAAAACACGGATCAAGTATGAATTTTGGTGGCATCACTTTTACGGTTCTAGAGTTATGCCCCTTTACAAATGGAAAAATGGCTGAATTTTTCGTTTCCGTTCTCTAACTTTAGTTTGCCTCAACTAATTGTTATGAAATGTATACACAATGCTTATTACCACAAAATTCAGATCAAGTACAAATTTGGGTAGCGTCACTTTTACAGTTCTTGAGTTGTGTCCTTTTATTACGTTATATGCAAGCGGGGGCATCATCTGTGTCCCATGGACACATTCCCCATTTATTTTCCATAAACTAAGCAGCAGTAGTCTGGTTTACAGTTTGAATATTTTTCTGTTAGTATTTGATATATTTGTAATTGAAACTATAGCAACAGAAGTAATATTTGGTTTATGTGAATTCTGTCTTTACTCTTTCTACCTTCTGTATGAACTGCAACTCAGATAATGTTGACTTTTTTTTTCTCTCTCTCTCTCTCTCTCTTTGGTTTTGGTGCACTCAAATGTATTCAGTTTACTAAACTTTCAGTCCCAAATGAACCTGGTGACAGTTATTTTAGATATACAATGTAGTTGTTGAAAATGGAGCCATTAAGAGACAAACAGATACAAAAAAATAAATCTACCACCATTAAAACAGACTTAAAATCCTATATATCTTTATAAAATTGCCATTAGTCTATTTATTTTCACTTGAGATTTTTATATTTGTGACTGCCATTCATGAATCTATCCTATAAATTTCCAATTTTGTCACTTAATTCAGTCTTTAGTGTCATATTTTGTTTAAGTTTAGCAAGAAGAGAAGAAAACACGTCAAATGAACCATACGTAAATTTGGAAGTTGAGTTTAATAAAAAATTTACAATTAATTATACACATCAAAAAAAAATCTGTGTTTTTAAACCAAGCATAGATATTGCTTTGTTAAGTTTTCTGAAATTAATTGTGTCATGATGCAAAGAAGTCATGACTGTGCATGCTTACCTTCACTCAACACACAAAAAAAAGAAAACTCCACATTTATTTGTATAATATAAAAAGAATAATTTTAAATAAGATAAACATTTTTGTCTGAAATTAAAAGCTGTATGCTGTATTTATACATTGTGTAATATTGCATAAAATGAAAGGAGAGGCTAACTGGTTCTTGAATGGTAAATTTTATCCAAGGGCTGAAATGTGATAAACATTTTTGTCTGAAATTAACAGCAGTATGTATTCAGTATGTATTCAGTTTACTAAACTTTAAGTCTCAAGTGAACATGTTAACAGTTATTTTAGATATACAATGTATTTGTTGAAAATGGTGCCATATAAGTGACAAACAGTTACTAAAAATTGAATCTTCACCCATTAAAACAGACTTAAAATCCTATTTATCTTTATAAAATTGCCATTAGTCTATTTATTTTCACTTGATATTTTTATATTTGTGCCTGCTATTCATGAATCTATCCTATAAATTTCCAATTTCGTCACTTAATTCAGTCTGTAGTGTCATATTTTGCTTAGAGAAAAAAACATGTCAAATGAACCATACGTAAATTTGGAAGATGATCTTCCTTCCAAGTTTCTAAGTTTAATAAAAAAATTATACTTAATTATACACATGAAACAAAAATTTGTGTTTTAAATCAGGCATAGATATTGCTTTGTTAAGTTTTCTGAAATTAATTGTGTAATGATGCAAAGAAGTCATGACTGTGCATGCTTACCTTCACTCAACACACAAAAAAAATAAGAAAACTCAGCATTTATTTGTATAATATAAAAAGAATAATTTTAAATAAGATAAACATTTTTATCTGAAATTAAAAGCTGTATGCTGTATTTATACATTGTGTAATATTGCATAAAATGAAAGGAGAGGCTAACTGGTTCTTGAATGGTAAATTTTATTTAAGGACTGAAATGTGATAAACATTTTTGTCTGAAATTGACAGCAGTGTGCTGTATTTACACTTTGTTCCTTTTTGCTTAAAATGACAAGAGAGGGTAACTGGTCCTTGAATGGTAAATTTTATTTAAGGACTGAAATGTGATAAACATTTTTGTCTGAAATTGACAGCAGTATGCTGTATTTACACTTTGTTCCTTTTTGCTTAAAATGACAAGAGAGGGTAACTGGTCCTTGAATGGTAAATTTTATTTAAGGACTGAAATGTGATAAACATTTTTGTCTGAAATTGACAGCAGTATGCTGTATTTACACTTTGTTCCTTTTTGCTTTAAATGACAAGAGAGGGTAACTGGTCCTTGAATGGTAAATTTTATTTAAGGACTGAAATGTGACAAACATTTTTGTCTGAAATTAACAGCAGTATGCCATATTTACACTTTGTTCCTTTTTGCTTAAAATGACAAGAGAGGGTAACTGGTCCTTGAATGGTAAATTTTGATTTCAGAATGGGAATGTTTAAAATTAATTTGGAATCTCTTTTGATTACAATCCTATTAAACATTGATATTAACCTTCACTTGCAGAGGCCATGGCATACAGTTGTTTTTGTGAACTAATGAAGAGGATGTCTTCCAACTTCCCCCATGGTGGGGCTATGGATACACATTTTGCTAATATGAGATCCTTAATACAGGTAAAAACTGACTTTTCTTTTAATAAATAGATATCTCTTTTCTCAAACACTTATGAGAAGTGATAGTTTTTAAAACGATTCTTTATATAAGTATAAAAAGTACATTTTTTGTTTATTCATTTGTTCATGTACTTTAAACCTCTTTGGGGTTTTTTGGTCACCATCTTGAAATGATGAGTTGTAATGTGTTAACTTTTGCAGGATATGTAAATGACAAAAAATCAAAAATAAGTAAAGAAGAATAAAAAATCATGTTTTATCAAAATTAACCTTGTGATATTCAACCATTTCCGAAATGTATCTTTTAATTCATTTATCTTTTTTCTTCAGATTCTTGATTCTGAATTATTTGAGCACATGCATCACCATGGAGACTATACACATTTTTATTTCTGTTACCGGTGGTTTCTTCTTGATTTTAAAAGAGGTAATAATGTTAAGAGATACAAGAACGTCTCTTTTGTTTGTATTATTTCATTTCTTTTCTTACAGAAGATTTAAATCAGAGAGGATTTTATTTTATTTAAGTGTATGTCTACATGAAAAAAAAATAACAACATATAAGTTTTAATGAAATGAAAGATACCAAGATTCTTTGGAGTCTAAAACATCTATTTGTGAAAAGATAAACATTTGGATTTATTCAGCATCTTGCCATAATATTATAAGGCATAATCAATTTTAAAAGATTAAACAAATTTGAAAAAAAATAGTTTTGCTTTCATAACAGGTTTTATCACAAAATACGTCATTAATTATCATATTTTTAAAATTTTACAGAGAAATTTTACTTTTAGATGTACATTGCTTGAATTGATCATATTTTACCAGTTGTTATATCATACAGTCAATTGTTTGGCCCCCCTGAATTAAGCTATATTAAAAATTATATGAGTGGAGAAGGGGCATTAAGATGTATTTTTGGCCCAAGAATGGCCATTATCATACCTGCTTTTTTTTAAAGTAAATTCTAGGATTATTCTTTGATGTGGAATTTTCATCAAAAGAGCTACGTAAAATTGTAATTTTGATGAATAGCTTGTCTTAGATACAATGTAAAAGAGAGGTGAAAGATACCAAAGGGACATTCAAACTCATAAGTCCAAAAATAAACTCACAGCGCCATGGGAAAAAACAAAAAAGACCAATAGACAAAACAACAGTATACAAAACACAACATAGAAAAATCAAAGACTGAATAACACAAACCCGACCGAGGAACATGGGATGATCTCAGATGCTCCAGAAGGGTTAGCAGATCCTGCTCCACCTTTCCTTTTGCTCATGTAAATACAAACCCGATGATAAGTCTAATTCGGTAGGTCACATTCGGTGTAAGATGTTATTTTACAGCTTACTGATTCTGTAATTATATTGAAGCATTGGTGTATAATGATATATTCTCGGTATGTTAATTTTTATAAACAGCTAACTGATTTTGTAATTTTATTGTAGAATTGGTGTACAATGATGTATTCTCAGTATGTTACTTTGTATAGACAGCTTACTGATCTTTAATTCTATTGTAGAATTGGTGTACGATGATGTGTTTTCAATATGTTAGTTTGTATAGACAGCTATCTGGTCTTTAATTCTATTGTAGAATTGGTGTACAATGATGTATTCTCAGTATGTTAGTTTTATAGACAGCCTACTGACCGTTAATTCTATTGTAGAATTGGTGTACGATGATGTATTCTCAGTATGTTAGTTTTTATAGACAGCCTACTGACCGTTAATTCTATTGTAGAATTGGTGTACGATGATGTATTCTCAGTATGTTAGTTTTTATAGACAGCTTACTGATCTTTAATTCTATTGTAGAATTGGTGTACAATGATGTATTCTCAGTATGTTAGTTTTTATAGACAGATTACTGATTTTGTAATTTTATTGTAGAATTGGTGTACAATGATGTATTCTCAGTATGACAGTTTTTATAGACAGCTTACTGATCTTTAATTCTATTGTAGAATTGGTGTACAATGATTACTCTCATTATGTTAGTTTGTATAGACAGATTACTGATCTTTAATTCTATTGTAGAATTGGTGTACAATGATTTATTCTCAGTATGTTAGTTTTTATAGACAGCTTACTGACCGTTAATTCTATTGTAGAATTGGTGTACGATGATAATTCTATTGTAGAATTGGTGTACAATGATGTATTCTCAGTATGTTAGTTTTTATAGACAGCTTACTGACCGTTAATTCTATTGTAGAATTGGTGTACGATGATAATTCTATTGTAGAATTGGTGTACAATGATGTATTCTCAGTATGTTAGTTTTTATAAAAAGCTTACTGATCTTTAATTCTATTGTAGAATTGGTGTACAATGATGTATTCTCAGTATGTTAGTTTTTATAGACAGCTTACTGATCTTTAATTCTAATGTAGAATTGGTGTACGATGATAATTCTATTGTAGAATTGGTGTACAATGATGTATTCTCAGTATGTTAGTTTTTATAAAAAGCTTACTGATCTTTAATTCTATTGTAGAATTGGTGTACAATGATGTATTCTCAGTATGTTAGTTTTTATAGACAGATTACTGATCTTTAATTCTAATGTAGAATTGGTGTACGATGATGTATTCTCAGTATGTTAGTTTTTATAGACAGCTTACTGATGTGAAATTCTATTGTAGAATTGGTGTACCATCATGTATTCTCAGTATGTTAGTTTTTATGTAGAATTGGTGTACGATGATGTGTTCTCAGTATGTTAATTTTTATAGACAGCTTACTGACCGTTAATTCTATTGTAGAATTGGTGTACGATGATAATTCTATTGTAGAATTGGTGTACAATGATGTATTCTCAGTATGTTAGTTTTTATAAAAAGCTTACTGATCTTTAATTCTATTGTAGAATTGGTGTACAATGATGTATTCTCAGTATGTTAGTTTTTATAGACAGCTTACTGATCTTTAATTCTAATGTAGAATTGGTGTACGATGATAATTCTATTGTAGAATTGGTGTACAATGATGTATTCTCAGTATGTTAGATTTTTATAAAAAAACTTACTGATCTTTAATTCTATTGTAGAATTGGTGTACAATGATGTATTCTCAGTATGTTAGTTTTTATAGACAGATTACTGATCTTTAATTCTAATGTAGAATTGGTGTACGATGATGTATTCTCAGTATGTTAGTTTTTATAGACAGCTTACTGATGTGAAATTCTATTGTAGAATTGGTGTACGATGATGTATTCTCAGTATGTTAGTTTTTATGTAGAATTGGTGTACGATGATGTGTTCTCAGTATGTTAATTTTTATAGACAGCTTACTGATTTTTAATTCTATTGTAGAATTGGTGTACGATGATGTGTTTTCAGTATGGGAGACTATATGGGCAGCTAAGTATATCAGCTCTCCACATTTTGTCCTGTTCATGTCTCTAGCTCTTGTTGAGTTCTACAGAGATATCATACTGGATAATAATATGGATTTCACAGATATAATCAAATTCTTTAATGGTGAGTTCATTAAAAAAATGCGGGCTTACTTGATATTCATACTGATAAAGTCAATATAAAAAAAAAAATGCCATTATTCTATATATATGCAATACTCACATGGCCACTCATATTTGAGTGTGAGTTGCCATGATTTCTAGATCAGCAAATTAAGAACTTGTTTAAGAAAACTCATCAAAGAAACCAGGCTTATTAAGAACAAAGGACATCTAGAGGTCAAACACAGTTTTCCACAACAGACAAGTTTCTATACAGTATGTCAATCTCGTATTTTCCCAGAGTCCAGAAAAGTTTGAATGAATTGAATTAAAAGTGACTATTTAAGGTCTACAATCAATACCAAATATCCCAAATGACAAAAAAAAATAGCAGTAAGATATGACTTAAAACAACCACTGACAAGGGTCCCGACTTGGAACTTGCATATAAAGTTGCAACTTGGTTACACCTTGTCTTTTGGGTTCTTGGTCCTCCCCTTTTAAATCTTGATCTGTGTAACAGTAAAAACAACATGACCTAGTCATAGACATGTAATCAAAATCAGTAGATGAAAGTATTAGTATTTATTACATTGGTTGCAATGAATTATCATGATTTCCCAGTGAAATAAAAACCAATAATTTCACATGTGAAATAAATCTGATAATTTCACTCCTCTGACGTGTCACTAATCCAACACTGAAGATGGAAACCATTTTTGTCTCGCCTTCAACGAAAGTCGGGAAAGCGAGACATGGAGATTGCTTTTCCAGCAAATGCTCAAGTTAGTTTGATAGGAACTACTTGTGATAGATCATTGATATTTAATATAAAGTTGCATTACTATCAGTACATATCAGTTTGATGACTATTTCGAGGCCCTGTCCCCTATGTAATGGTCCAGCAACTTTGAATTAATTAGTAATTTTCAATGTTAAGTTTTCTGCTTAAGTTAGTTTGATAGGAAGTACTTGTGATAGATCAATGATATTTAATATAAAGTTGCATTACTATCGGTACAAATCAGTTTGACGATTATTTCTAGGCCTTGCCCCCTAGGTCATGCTCCAGTGACTTTGAATTAATTAGCATTTTTCAATGTTAAGTTTTCTGCTTAAGTCAATTTGATATAACTACTTGTGATAGATCAATGATATTTTGTATAAAGTTGCATTACTATCAGTACATATCAGTTTGACGATTATTTTCAGGCCCTGCCTACTAGATAATGGTCTAGCGACTGAATTGATAAATCATGTTGCTGCCCATCAGATTGTCTTTTTCTGAATTTTATGCCGACAGTCGAGATATATCTCTGTGTCAACAGTTTATTTGGTTTTTTTTTCAAAAACTAATATTTTCAGTTTTATTTAACACCCCTACATTTTATTGTGTGAATTAATTAATGTGTGATATATTTTTTTTATTTTATAGAAATGGCTGAAAGACATAAAGCAAAGCAAATACTTAAGCTGGCAAGAGATTTGGTGCTGAAGTTACAAACTTTGATTGATAATAAATGACTGGAGTTCCCATAAACCATGTAGATGTAGTCATGATATGAACTAGTGAGAACAGATACACATAAATCATGAAAAGAATATTCTGCAGACCAAAGCATTCATCTAGATACCAGTATTTCCACTACGATTAGTTGTTAAATTCTTATTTAGATATAGGCTATTCATCTTGATATCTCAGTAACAAATAGAGAGACAGGACAGTACAATGTATATCTTGATATCTCAGTAACAAATAGAGAGACAGGACAGTACAATGTATATCTTGATATCTCAGTAACAAATAGAGAGATGGGACAGTACAATGTATACTAACATTACATATGGAAGTGTTGTGTGTACCAGTACTACATAGTACAAATGGTAGTGTAGTGTGTATTCCACTGTGTATGTGGATATGTATTATTAAAAGAAAATCACTTCTGTAAAGTGTATTTAACCTCAGATATTTTAGATGAAATTTTTTCAGGTCTAGAGTATTAAATATTATAGTTAAGGTTATATATAGGTTCATTAAGATGTGAAATTTTTACAAATGTATGCATATTTGGCCAAATATGATAGTGCTAGCAATGCAGGGCAGGGAGGGCGTTTTTCAATATTTTATGATCAAACAATGTGCTTCTCTTCTTTTTTAAGAGATGTGAAAATAAAGGTTATAGACTTTTTGAACAGCTAAAATTATTCTCTCAATAAAAGAAAATAAAACTGTCTGAGGTGTTCCAGATAGATATACTACTGTGCAATATTTTCCAGAAGTCTTATATATTCATCTTTTGTACTTACATAACAATTTGAGAGTATTTTGTATTATAATTAATATATACTGCATGTAAAAATTATGTCTACTGCAAATTGTTAACAATACTTCATTTCCTGACATGGCAATGTTCAAAATTTAAGCACAGAGTTAATTATTGTTACATGAGATTGGCAGATCTAGAATCTATTTCTCCAGGTAATTGTTTAAACCCTTTTCCAATTACAAAACTACTTTGAAGTAGTAAAAATGGCAGTTTGGTGTGCAAGACTTTTAGTACTATAGTTTAAATGGCAGTTTTTACCCATTTTATAATGGGGTATAAAATTCACAAAGTCAGGTGATTGTTTTAATTTTACTTGTTAAGTAGCAAAAAAGTTGAATCAATAATTTGATAGACAAGAATAATACAAATAAATTTATTTGGTACACATATAGCTCAATACACCAATTAAATAACCACAGTTTATTAACGTTAAGGTCACATGACAAAGATAGAGGTATTTATTTATACAGCTAATAGACATTTTTTTATTCAGTCACAAGCTGCCAATTTGTATTTTTTCACTTTTACATGTATTCCAATAAGATTTTAGATCAGTCGAGACATGATTTACTTGAGACATTATTTACTTGAGACATGATTTACTTGAGACATTATTTACTTGATACTTTATACAATAGTTGAGAGATGCTAGTCATATACCTGAGATGCAATATTATATATATAGTACACAAAGTATTATAATAGTGGCATTCAATGCAATTGTTTATAGAAATGCTTTTATTAGTCAGTAATTTTAACTTAAACATTGTTTAATTGTATTTGAAGGTTTAGCTAACTGCCATAATGACTTTCTTTCTTACTTTAATTTACTACGCAATGATACAGTGAAGATTGATATATTTTTTATTAAATTGGATTTCGTTTATTTTAAATCTCAACAAATTTAAAGAAATTCTGAGCTTGATTAGAAGTAGGATAATGTATAACTTTAAGGAAGGGAGAGTATTTGAATTGTCAAGAAGGAAAAAAATACAGAAGAAAAGAAGGGAATTGAGGTTACATGTACCTATTTATATCTTATTTTTACCAAATTATTATCAAAATGTCCTGATAGGATATTAAAAATCATTTCAACACTGACACTTTCTAAAAATAACATATGTGGACTAATCACAAGAAACTTTTTGTGCCATATCCGACATGGTCGACTTTTAGAGACATCACGATAGAACTTTTAGAGGAAAGCAAGAAAATAATTGCATTTTGACCAATGAAGAACTGAGATCAAACTTACCACAAGTTGGTTGAAAAAGAAATAAACAACTGGTCGGGAAAAGGGTAATTTGACTAAGAATAAGAGAAATTTCTTTACTAGATCCTTAAAATCCTACTTAAATCAAGATCAGAAATTTCTATATACTTGTCAAGATTAAAAATGATATTTTTATCTTAAATTTAAAGATAAATTAGCTGTTTATTGTTTCAAGTCATTATTGCAGATAGCTACATACATATGTATTTTTATTTTATATAATTGGTTTGTATTGTTGAATTTTAGGAGGTTGTTTGACTTTTGCCAAATGTTTTGTTGTAACTAAATATGTACAGAGCCTCTATATTTTGAAAATTATCATTATCATTTGTACAAAACTCATCTAAATGACTTGTATAATGTATCTGTGATTTTATAGTTAATAGTTTTCGTATACCCAATCTGATTCTTGTTAACTCCTATTATCTTGTAGTATGTAAGCCATTTACCAATACCCATACCACAGGATTTTTGTATAAAGAAAAACAAATTGTACAATTGATTAGCTTCAGTTGTAGAAAATGGCCTTCTATTTAGTTTCTTTCATGATTAGGGAGGAACAAATTTAAAAATCACTGTAGGAGTAAACAAAACAATTTGCTAGTCAATAAAAAATGCTGGTAAGTTGGAAAGATTTTTTAGAATTCCTTTTATAAGATAATTACAGTTATAAGTCTCTGATGTATGTGATTTTAACTAAAGATTTTTTTTTAAAACTACATTTTGCAATCTTGAAGTTCTTTATTTGTTAAGAATATTATTTAAGTGATGTATATACTTTATTTACAATTTCTGTGATAATGATCTGAAATCCACTTATACAACAATTATAAGTTTCTCCACAATTGAATTGAAATATCATATTTTCCCATATGATATTTATCATCTAAATAAAAAAAACATTTGTTATCATAACACAAAAGTGATAAGTTCCCAAACATAAAAAGGTCAACATTAAGGACCTGTTGAAGCAAAGTCATGGAAGTCACAAATTGTTGTTATAAGACCGCAAAAAAATTTTGTGGTCATATATTGGTATGACGTTGGCGTCGTCGTCCGAAGACACACTGGTTTTCCCACTCTAATTTTAGTTTAAGTGAATGGATCTCTATGAAATTTTACCATAAGGTTCAATACCACAAAAGGAAGGTTGGGATTGATTTTGGGGGTTATGGTACCAACAGTTAAGGAATTAGGGGCCAAAAAGGGATCAAAAATAAGCATTTTTGTAACTTCCAGATATAACTTGTGTGTTAGTGTATGGATCTCTCTGACATTGTACCACAAGGTTTCATATCACAAAGGGAATGCTGGGATTGATTTTGGGGGTAATTTTCTCAAAATTTTAGGAATTAGGTGCCAAAAAAGGGGCAAAAAATAGCATTTTTCTAGTTTCAGGACAATAACTTGTGTGTAAGTGTATGGATCTTTATGAAATTGTACTACAAGGTTCCATATCACAAAGGGAGAGCTGGAATTGAGTTTGGGGGTAATTGCCCAAAATATTGAGGTATAAGGGGCCAAAAAGGGGCCAAAAATAAGCATTTTTCTAGTTTCCAGACAATAACTTGTGTTCAAGTGAATGGATCTCTCTGAAATTGTACTGCAAGGTACCATACCACAAATGGAAGGCTGGGATTGATTTTGGGGGTAATTGCCTCAAAATTTTAGGAATTAGTGGCCAAAAAGGGGCAAAAAACAAGCATTTTTCTAGTTTCAGGACAATAACTTGTGTGTAAGTGTATGGATCTTTATGAAATTGTACTACAAGGTTCCATGTCACAAAGGGAGAGCTGGAATTGAGTTTGGGGGTAATTGCCCAAAATATTGAGGTATAAGGGGCCAAAAAAGGGCCAAAAATAAGCATTTTTCTAGTTTCCAGACAATAACTTGTGTTCAAGTGTATGGATCTCTCTGAAATTGTACTGCAAGGTACCATACCACAAATGGAAGGCTGGGATTGATTTTGGGGGTAATTGCCTCAAAATTTTAGGAATTAGTGGCCAAAAAGGGGCAAAAAACAAGCATTTTTCTAGTTTCAGGACAATAACTTGTGTGTAAGTGTATGGATCTTTATGAAATTGTACTACAAGGTTCCATATCACAAAGGGAAAGCTGGGTTTGAGTTTGGGGGTAATTGCCCTAAACGTTTAGGAATTTGGGGCCAAAAAGGGGCAAAAAACAAGCATTTTTCTAGTTTCCAGACAATAACTTGTGTTCAAGTGAATGGATCTCTCTGAAATTGTACTGCAAGGTACCATACCACAAAAGGGAAGGCTGGGATTGAGTTTGGGGGTGATGAATCATAAGGGGGTTCAAAAAATTTGGGGGAGGGATTTTTTTTTTCCTTTTTTTCCTTTTTTTTTCTTTAAAATTTTCCATTTTAAATTGGTTATTTCTGATTTATATATAAAAGCAAATAATAATAATATGGTTTGAATAGGTAAATTAAAATTTTTTAAGTTCCTAGACCACATTCATTCTGTGTCAGAAACCTATGCTGTGTCAAATATTTAATCACAATCCAAATTCAGTGCTGTATCAAGCTTGAATGTTGTGTCCATACTTGCCCCAACTGTTCAGGGTTCGACCTCTGCGGTCGTATCAAGCTGCGTCCAGTGGAGCATTTTATTTTTGTATAGCCACCATGGCAAATTATGTATAGGCCAAGGCCATAAGTTTTTCATTAATAGATATCCTTTATGTATTAAAGAAAAGCAAGTGGTTCTTTCAAATGGATTCTTGTTTCATAGAAATAATTCAGTTGCTATATTTTGCTGCTTGATTGTGGCTTCATTAATGTCTGGACACCTAGTCAAAGAAGAATTATCAATCATTATGAATGTAAAATGGATTTACCCATCTAGGTAGCATTGAGATGTTGGCAGATTGGGTCTCTCCCAGAGAGTACAAAATAAAATTGAGAATTCATGACACCTTTTCTACTTTTATAAAGAGTTCAGGCCTTCACTAGTAGAAGAGATCGATTATGTGAAGCCCATCATTATTTTTCCAAATAACACTATTTAAAGACACATCTTTCTCATGAAAAAAATTGTTATAGGCATGTATTTGTTAAACTTAACTTTTTATCCTTTTTTTTTTTTAATTGAATTTAAACTGGTTTTATTATATTTCATAGATTTGTTTTGTCTAAATTCATAATGTACAGGATGGACCTATAAAATCCTGTTAAAGTAGTTTTTTCTTCTTAATTGATTGGTTCAAGTAGATTCATCTATAACGAAGTTTAAGACATTTATCTAACAAAAAGATATGAGACATAAATTTCATTATAAATATATTATATATGTGCAATATAACTAATTAATTGTGCCATTGTATTATAGTAGAACAGATTTTGAAATTCAAGTCTGTGTGCCTGTCTGAACTGTTTTCTTTTCAAATGGTAAACTTTTTCATGCAAAGGATCAATTGGAAAATAGATGTTCTAAAACATTCACATCCGAAAAAGTTCTTACAATTATACATGTTCTTTTACATTCATACACCAAAATGTTTAGACTACCCATGTTTCATTTTTACATTGTGTACATTTTTTAAAGGATGTATTTTATATGAGAAAATGATCTCAAATTTAGGTTTAGCTTATATTAAACAAGTATGTTTTAAAAGCTAAAATTTGCGATTATTTTCATATGTGTACATTGTAAATAAACTGTTTCAAGAAAAAAGATATTGGTAAACATATTCTATTTTCATGAGGGGTCAATATTAGTTAAAATTGTTTCTCTGATGATTTTCACAATGATGAAAATTGTTATGCTATATAATTACTTTTTTTAACAAATTTGAACGCAATGCTTTACCTTTGCAAAAAAAATAGATTGACCATCTTAAAATCAGATAATTAATAATGCCTTTTTATTGTAATGGCACACTAAATGTGTTGTAAAATGAGCTTACCATATTTACATAGATAGAAATCTCTATACATTAAATTCACTATGATCTTCACAAACTTATCACATTTGGCAGATATCAATTTGCAATTCTGAACCAAATATATATGTTTAGAGAAGCTACATATAAAATTATGAATGAATTGGTATGATGTGTCAATGTCTATCTTGTCATTTTCAAGAATTTTAATGTGGAAAATCAAAATAAATATGAAGGATTTAAATTCTGATAGCACAAGTAATATGTCATGTATATGTTAGCTTTCAAATTTGCCACAGTAGGCAGGTTGTTGCAAGATAAACTTTTTGTCTCAATCCATCATAAATGTTTTTTCTCCAGAAACAGTCCAAATTTCCTACCTTTCATCTAGTTCAACCCACTTTGCAGAATCTACGTAATTGAATTTGTTTTACTTTTTATTACTTTTTTTCACTAAAACATTCCATACAGCACATTTAAGGTCAAAAAAGCTTTTTCGATACTTTTATAAAGACATTCCATTCAGCACGTATTTCACCATGACAAATCTACTTAAGTTGCTTTAAAGGAGAGCAATTGTTTTCTGCTTAAGCTTTCGTTTGGTACAGTTCTACTTTTATATACATGTTGAAATTAAAACAAAATGTGGAAAAGTTTATTTCATAACATGTTTTTTTATTGTAATGCATTTTATTTTTATTTTGTATTTCTGATTAAACATTTTAACTGATATCAAATAAGATCTGACAAGTCATATTTTTTATTGTTTTTGTATTTTCTTAATATTGTAATTGACTAAAGGTTTGAAGACCATATCCGAGATATAAATAAAAGATTGTTCATATGATTGACTCTATCCAATAAAAAATTTTATCTAGGAAAATATAATTTACCAATTTTGCATTATGAAAAGTCCTTGCCAGTGTTCAATTGCTACTAAATTATTAATTTATACCCCTCAATTACTTCATGCAAACGGTGAATGTTATTACAAAACATTGTTCATGAAAGCAGTATTCAAAACAAATAGTTGACTAGCAGTTTACTTAAGGAATGTAAACATTGAACCAAACTGATCCCCCTTAAATAAGATTTTGCTGTTAAGAGCAAACATGTATCTGACAAGAAAGCATATTATACAAAGGAGTTGGTCTGTATCCCCTATAAAAAGTCATAATGGTAATAAAAAATTATATTATCTTTCCATTAAAAAGTTTAATTAATATTTATATGCAAAGTGTAACATTTATTTTCTTTCACAACTTATGAAAATAGTGAAAAGATTTTAAAGACAACATGAGGAATCAAACTACTGTAGTTTAATTCTGCCACAAGTTAATGTACCTGACAACTTTTTAAAAAGAGATTTCCTCAAAACTAGCCAGTATATATATGAATATTGATTTTTAGAATATACCCTAAAGATATTCACATTTGTTATATACTATTCTTGTATATTCTAGTACAGGCAAATCTCTTTTACACTTTCAAGATTATTCTAGTTAGAAAAGTTCTAGCTTTCTACATAAGTCATACTTTACTTACGTATTGGACCAATTAGGCTTAATATAATTATTTGCATGGGTGTGGGGAAAATATTCAAATTTGGTTATCTCCCTTTGACCAGAAAAATCATCTGAAAAACGACTCAATGTTCAATTGCCCATTACAATTATGTTATAGGTGTGTCTGATAAGTCTGAGTAATGTGTGGTTAATGTAGAAAGCTTAGACGTCTCTATAAATGTTTATAAAATTTTGAAAGTCTACCTCCTACAGGAAGTAATTCGTTGCTGTTTCTTGACTGAACTATATGTCTAAAACACTATTCCCATCAAATGTATTTACCAATATTGTATCAAGGATATTATTTTGTGTTTCCTAGTATTAGATATCTATGATTTCCCATATTATTAGACTAATGATCTATAATTTGATGACTATATATAATCATGTATTATATTATGATTTATTGTTAAATTCAGATTTTATGTGATGTTATTGTTGATCAATGGAATAAAAATATCTGTGATTGATTTCATCTTCAGTTTTTCCAATTCTAGAGGCAAATCATTTACTCATAGCACCATTGTTCTTTATTATAAAATCTGCAATTTCAAGCAGTCATAGTTGTTTTGTCTGTAAGATCAAACATAGTGACAGTTATTTCATGTCAAAGTAATACCTTTTTGTGGTTTGTGCTGGCAAAAATCAACATGCCTAGAATTGCATAAATATGGTTTCTTGAACTTCGGAAGTACCAAAACAGGTATTTCAGTGTTCAGAAGCAGGAAAAACCTACACACCTATTTAATTTTATATACAGTTTCATTTCTCACTTTGAAGAAGTTGAAAAAGTATGCTATTTCCAGTGGTGGTGGCATCAGCATAGTGTTATACTGTGGTAACTCAGTTTAATGAGAACCACTAGTTGTAGACAAATGATATTTAGTATGCATTTGTATTAGCATTGGCTTTTCTTATTTCCATGGAGACAATTTGGCTCCACCCCTCAGTCATGGTTTTTTTTTTACATCAGAAATTTGTTTAGTTTACATCTTGGAGTTTGAATCTAATCTAATGACAAAAAAAAATATCCAACTGTTTAGAAGAGCTAAAGAGTACATCGTCGTCGTCATCGTCATCATCATCATCATCAATAATAATTCAACATGTGCTAATTCCACATGTGCATCATCATCATCAATAATTCCACATGTGCCATGTGTTAAATGTTTAATACAACAACAACAAATTTTGGTAGTATCAGGGTAAACGGTTTTAACTATTTTGACTTTATTTGTTATTTCAGAGTTGTGACATTTTTATAGTCTTCATTTTGTTAAATTTACCTCAAAGTCATCCTGTCATGACAAAAGTCTAAATGATGGTTCATGGGTAAGCTTTTAGTTATATCTTACTGTAAACATCCTTTCAGGTATTTGAAATCTTGCCAAGGATTATCTTCAAAGGAAAACTTTTGCCGATTTTGTAATCTCATGCATTATGCCTTCTCTTATTCTTTTTGAAAACTACTGAACAAACCAACCAGCAAGCAGATATGTTCATTACAAGGTCTGTTCCTAATGTTGATACTTCAATACCGATTCGTTTTCAAATATCACCGCCATGTTCATTTCTAAATTCGAATACACTCGAATGATTTTGCTCCGATTAGCAACCAGAAAACCTTTCTAACCGATTTATATTGAGCGGAATATGACGACTATGTTATTTTAATTCTTTCTGGTATTGGCTTAACTACCTCTCCATAAAACTACTGTCACTTGGTCGATATCTCTACTGGTTGACTGTTAATTCTCGGTGGTATCACCAGCACAATAGACATAACTTTGGTACTGACATACACATACGGATATTGTTCGATAGACAGTTGCTGTTCTGAGATTGTCATATCATGTTAAATTAAGAAATATATTTCCCTGATGCAAAGCTCTGATTCCTTGCCCGAATGTGGCTACACTTTAGGATTTTTTTTATCTTATCAGCTCTTCAACGTATATTCGAAATGTGCATCT